GGTTATTTTTCTCATTAGCTGTATACCCTTGGGTAATTCACCCAGCCTTTCTGAGCCTCATTGTCCTTGTCTGTAAATTGGGGTAATATTCATACCTACTTGAGGGGGGTTGTGTAGATGAAGTGAAGCAATGCAGGTAAGGTTCTGAGCACAGTGCCTGGTAAATTGTAGGTTCTCACAAAACAGTACCACTGTTTTATATAGTGATAATTACAATTAGCACTGTTGTTGACACATGAAGCCATAGACAGACATGAAATACAGCAACACATGCACAGAGACCTCACTTCCTCCCATCCTCCCCCTTGTCCTACCAGCCTCTGTACCCTTTCTCAAACACTCCCAGCACATTCAGATCTCAGGGCCTTTGCACTTGCTCTTCTCTCCACCCAAAAAACCAATCTCAGATATACTGTGCTCCTCCCACTCCCCCCCGATCTCCCTGACTCTACTTTTGTTTTGTTTGTTTTAGACTTTTACCATTCTAACAAGACATAGAATTTACCTTCTATCTTTATTAGCTTTTGCCTGTCCTTTGATTAAAAGGTCAGGATGTTGGTTTGTTTTTTCCCCTGCTAGGACGATGCTAGCATATAGTAGGTGCTCAACAAATAGCTCTCGAATACATGAACAAATCCAGTTGACTCCCTCAGCTCCTGTAGGCCTCCGCGGGCCTCTGCTCAAAGTCACCTCCTTCCAGATCCTTCCCTGACATAGATGCCTCCCCTGACCCTATCACTCTCTTCCCCTCACTCAGCTTTTCCTTCTTAGCTCTCATTGTCCTGATGTATATCTTTATGCTTCTGTTCTCCCCGACTTCTTAGTTTCATGAGGGCCGTGGATTTTTCTGTCTCATTCTAGAAGTACAATTCATAGATATGCAAACTGCAGTCCCACAGGGCCCCTCGCTTAGAAGGTTTAATGTGCTAACTATCATCTCAAAATTTTTCATAATTTTGAACAGGGGCCCTGCATTTCCCTCTTGCCCTAGGCTCTGCAAATTTTTGTAGCCTGTCCTGGCTACATTCCCAGTGCCGGGAACAGCCCATGGTAGGTGCTTAAGGACATGTGAGATGGAGGAAGGAATAGAGGAGTGGACAGCCAGAGGAGCCCCTTGGGCCAGGGAGGAGACGTGCAGGCCATCACTGTCCCAAGACCTGTGCACATTTGCAGAAATCAGATCTGGCAAAAAGCTGGACGCAGGAGGCAGGACATCAGCCTCTAATCGAGTTTTCCCCTCCCCTGGGCAGCAGGGTGTTTGGGGAGGAGGGTCCAGATGGTGGAGCTGGCCACTACGGGCAGTTGGCACCAGGCTCAGGCTGAGAGGCCTCTTCTCCCACCTGACTTGTCAGCACTGATCAGCAGCAGTCCAGCCTGGGAGTTGCTGGCCTGGCCTGACAGAGGAGGGCTGGCTTCACCCAGCCTGACATGCCCCCACCTCCTTCAGCAGGCTATGGGGATGGGTGGCCAAAAAGAAGGAAGGAAGTGAGGATAAAAAGGCCTTGCCCAAACCTTGGCCCTGAGCATCCAGGCCTGACAAGCTCCATGCTTATACTGAAAGTGGGCTGGGGAAAACTTAGAGGCCACAAGTATGTGTGTGCATGAGACTTTGTACACGGCAGTGTTTGTGCAACTGGATGGGTGGAACTTTGAGTCTGAGTTTGTGTAGTTGAGACCATGCCTGTAGGAATGTTTGTGACAGGTGACACCACGTCAGTCTATGTGGGCATGAGGTTGGACGTATGTCTGTGACTGTGATGAGTCTGTGTGAGGGGGGAGGTGGGTGCATGTGGATGCAGCAGGAAGCAGCTTTCCGCAGAGACTAGAATTGCTGAGTTTGGGTTCAGACCTGCTCAGCCACTCATGAGCTACATGGCCTCGGGCACATTATTTAGGTTCTCAGTATAGAGTGTTGGTTAGTGCGCTTACTTTTTTCTGGATGGAGTGTGTATGTGTGTATAGGCATGTGTTTGTATAGCTTATTCAAATCCAGGTCTTCCTGGATATCCAACCTAAAGTGGACCCTTCCATTTTTCTTTCCTGTTACAAACTGCCCTAATCACAACTTGTTGTTATATATTTATTCATTTGTTTGTTTGTTTGTTTGCCCCACTAAATGTGAGGTCCATAGGGGCAGGGAGTTTCATTTTGTTCACTGTTTTGTCCCCAGCACCTGGCATATTGTAGGGCTGAGTAACTGCTGAATGGATGGATGCAGGGCTGGCTGCAAAGTATGGGGAGGGAGCTGGGTGCTGGCTGGGTATCACGGGCTCCTGGGGGGCCCCGTGCCCAGGTCTGGTCTCTACTCTCTTCCTTTCCCAGCAGTTGACAATCATTCCCTCAGCGGTCCTCACCTCTATGGGAATGATGACACGTCATCAACTTTGACATCTGTTGTCACCTTTGACATCTTTTCCTTCTCTGGGTCTTATGGACTCACCTCATTTGTAAAATGGGATGGATAGATGGACTGGTTCCTAAGCCTCCTTCCAGATCTTAACTGCTATGGAAATAATCTTAATCTAATCCCTCTTTAATTCTTTCAACATTTATTGAACACTGATCTGGACCTGGCCCTGCCCTCGTGGTGCTGAAGTGAACAAGGAAAGCAGATACAAACCAGAAATTTCATTTAATCTCCAGCACCACCACTCTACCTTGGCCACTGTCTGTGCCTGATGGAATTTTAGTCTTCACTGTTTGAAATCACCCTGAGTATTTCTGTTTACACACTGATCTTGCTCCCTTACCAGTCTTGAGGGGCCGCAGAGCAGGAACCCAGCTGGTCTCAGTTGCTGCAGCCCCACAGACTGGCTACTGTGCCCTGGCACATAGTAGGCACTTGGGAAGTAGGTGGGAAATAAGCTAAGAAATAAAGCAAAAGCAGGCTCACGTGCATGACCTAGCGGTGCCTTGATGTGTCATTACCCACCTTGCAGGTGGGGAAACTGAGGCTCAGGAAGGCAAAGCCATTTCCTGGGTCCCACTACAGCTAAAAGTTGTAGCTGTGGAATGCAGCAAAGGCAACTTGGAGAGCCCAGAGGAGCATTCCCTGCCTCACCCCTCCCCCACCTCACAGGTTCAAGAGACACAGCAAGGAATACGCTGGTGGGGGCTGGGGAGGTTGGGGCAGGGGGCGGGGTGGAGAGGAGAAACCAAAGAACAGTGCAAAACAACTCAGGGAGTTCTGTCTCCAGGGCTGGCGATGCTGTGTTGGCAGGAGATTAGAAAAAGCTTGGCGCTGATGGGGAGCTTCTGGCGCTCTGACCTCAACTCTGGGAGCAGGGTCTTCTGGGACCCTTTTTAATTGGGGCCAGGCAGCTTCAGTCCCAAAGCCAGGGAGAGACTCCCCTGCAACTCCCGCACCTACCTGGGAATCCCGGCCTAAATAGACCTCCCCACACACCCTCAGCCCGGAGGCAGGCCTGAAGCCCTCAAAGGGTGTACTGGGGGCCCCAGCTTTCTTGCGGAGCGTGGGAAGCCCCCACCGTCCTGGACCCCTCCCTCCGGGGTGCCGAGTACCCCTCCCCACCACAGCTCGCCGCTGAAAGCTTACCTTGCAGGGAGCGCAGGGGAGGGGATGCCCCGCCCTCTCCAGCGGGAGGAGTGGGGCGGTGGGAGGGAAACAGGGATGTTCAGACCCGGTATTTCCTGGTGTGTGTATGTGCGTCTGTGCGATTACGAGACCCGCTGGGGTGTGTGGATCTGTGCAAGCGTGTGCCCAGGCCGTGACGGCCGCTGATATGCTGGACAGCCCCAGCTGGAGGGGGAGGGGGAGCGGAGGGGGACTCCTGCGCTCCCGCCCGCCCACTCGTGGGTTTGAATGGAGCTCTTAGGTGCAGGGGCGGGCGCTTTTGTCTGGATAGCCCCACCCCCTCCCTCGGACGGGGCATCCCCCCAATTTGAAGACCGTTATTCCATTTCCTCCAGCTTCCTCCGTCCAAATGCTCTCTCGGGGAAAGTCTAGGAAAAGGCTCCCCTCATTCCAGGGGCTGGAGCTCCTTCCATCCCACCCGACCCCCATGGAGCATCCTTTAATCTGAGATAATCCTGGCCCTAGGCTGCACAACACGACCTTTTATCCGGGTTACAAAGCATGGGCTGGGATTTACCAAAGTGCGCCTGGATAGCCCAAGCTCAAAGTAACGGGAGTCATTAGAGTCCAGCGGAGGAAGAAGGCCCGCACAGGAAAGAAGAAAGGCTGTGAGCGGTCCTCGGGTACCACGACGAGGAAAGCCCCCATCCGCACCTCCACTATCCCCGCCGCCTCCTCCCCCACCACCCAGCGCGAGGCCGGGAGCTCTGGCCACTGGCTAGACATTAGCGACACCTAGCGGCCGCAAGGGAGACGTCGCCGTGGACATGCTCCCCAGACATGTAGTGAGGGGGTCCGGGTGATTCAAGAGGGGATGTATACGCGAATCCCCGCTCAGAAGTGGCAGAAGATAGGCACGGGACAAGAAGGCTGTGGTCCAAACCGGGAAAATACCAGCCCCCCAAGGCAGAGCCACCTCGCGGCCAACTCAGATCTCACCAAGGGCAGGTTCGTATCCCTGCTCCACTTAGACTCTCCCACAGCAGGGTCCTGCACCCCTCGTTTTGGGAAGGTCCCCTCAGATCACGCCCCACCCCGATTCACGGAGGGCAAGAGGCAGGTCTCGCTGAAGTTCAGGCTGTTACTGAGCCTTGGCTTAGAGGACAGCCCCCTCCTCTGGTCTCACCAACTGCCCCCGACCTGCGGCTGCCGCAAACTCCCACTGTGAGGCAGCAGGAGATGAGGGTGGTGCTAGGCTGGGGACCCGCACGTATACCCCCAGGAGGTGCCTAGCCGGGACCCCACGCCGGATAACGCTGGGTCTCCGCTGGGGCTCCGGGAGGCCTGAACGCCGGCTCAAGGCCCTTTAAGACAAAGCCCGGTCGCCAGAGCCGCCGCCGCAGTTACTAAGGATTCGTCGTCAGCCGGGGGCGGGGTGTGTGCGCCCTGGCGGAAGCGGAAGGGGCGGAGCTCCGTGGGCCCGGACTGAGACACTTCTGCCACCGCCACTGTCGCCTTAGGAGCTGGAGCGGGCTGGGCCACAGGACAAGATGGTGGACTACAGCGTGTGGGACCACATCGAGGTGTCTGACGATGAAGACGAGACGCACCCCAACATCGACACGGCCAGTCTGTTCCGCTGGCGACACCAGGTAGAGTGCGTGTGCCCAGCCCCTTCCCTCCCCCACCTCCCGGGACTCTGCTGCAGACTTCTGATCCTCTATATCTACAGGGACCCGCCATTGACACCTGGGATTCCCACCGGTGTGGGCTTTTAATATCTCCCGGGGCTCAACTCTGTGACCTCAGAGCTGCCGGGACCCCTACATGCCGTAGGCATCTCCCTCATAGCCTAAATTCTCAAGACAGGCTTTGGAGGTGCCCCCGAGTCCCGTCTAGGACCTTCACCTTACACCCAGAACTCTGCCTCAGAGTCTAGACCCTGATCCTGCTTGGGTACCCACTCCTGACCTTGGATTCCCATTCTCCTCTCCCCAGCTCCTAGAGTCCCTAGTACTTTGAATCTGTTCTGCGATGTGCTTCCCTGGGTATGAGGGTGATTCCTACTCGGATCCAGAGATCCTACTCCTCCAAACAGAACAAGGAACTCTGGCTTCCCCTGGAATTTCTGTTCCTGCCCTGGGACATCAGTCACCCCACACCCACAGCCTCTTCCCCTATTAGGATCCTTGGTTCTCACCTAGAGTAGACCCCATTTCCAGTGACACCAGGAGTCCCTATCTTGATGGCTTCCCTCCTAGCCAGAGCCCCACTGCAAGTCGGTATTGCAGACTCTGGCCCTGCCCACACCCCAGGACCAACTTCCTGTAGGAACCTCTCCCAGCACTGGAACCTCCTCCAAACCCACCCGCCTTCCTCCCAACCCCAGCCCGGTCTGCTGCTCTCAGACACCCAGATTGCCCCTACTTTCAGCGGGAACTCTCTCCCAGCCTGATTCCAAATTCACTGCCCCTTCTTTTATCAAATTGCCCCCAAATCCAGACCCCAGAATCCCTAGTCTGAGTGTTCCCTGCCCCTCTTCCTGTCCAGCAGTGCTTACAAACCAGTAGAATGGCTTTCATAAGACCCAGTGTTTTAACACCTGCTCTCCCAAATCATAGGTGCTGCATCCACATACCTCTGCTTGTTCTGCTCTGAAACTGAGGGTGTGTACCTCTCAGAACCTTCCAGTTAGGAATGCTCCACCCAGCTCTCCCCAGTGGCCACTCCTAGTCATTTATTCAGAAAGTCCTGGAAGGGTTCTTTCCCATCCTGCCAAGGCCCTACGACTGCTCCCAGCCCCATTTCCAGCCCATTCCTTAAAGCAGTAATATATCTGTTGGACAAACCACTAGAGTGTAAGAAGAAAGTTCTAGCACTTCCATTTCTGGTCACATATAACATGTATTATGAAATAGTTAAAATCTCTACAAAGTGTTAAAGACTATTTCGGGTACGCATATTTCTGTCTCATAAAGAGGTTAAATCTGTACTGCTTTGTGGAGACTGTTTTGGTCGTGCTGGGTAGGAGGCCCCTTCAATACTGCAGCCGCTTCCTCCCCCACTCCGCCCGCCACCCTCCTCCGCACAGAACCTTTTCCTGTCCCGCTGCCGAAAGCCTGAGACTATAGTGAAGAGTGGTGGGGACAGGGGGCCTCGGTGTCTCCAGCAAGCCGGGGTTCTAATCCCAGCCCTAGAAATGAGATGAGGTCTGAAAAGAACTTGGTCCAGGCCCCGTGAGGAGCGGTGGGGTCAGTAAAATGGGGGCCTGGTGAGCTTCTGGGCACAGGCCTTGCCACCTGTGCTCACATCCTGGCTCCTGAGCACTGACTTGCTACCTGACTTCCAGCGAATTGTTTGATCTCTTGGTACCTCAGTTTCCCCACCTGGGAATATTAATAGTGTCAACCCCATGGGATTGTTATGGGAGTCATCTTAATGTGTGTAATGCTTTTGGGACAGCACATAGTATGTGAAAGCTCTCTGTAAACTTCAGTCACTGTCGTCGTCATCATTATTATTTAGGTAATTCCCTCTCGTGATTAAAAAAGAAAAAGAACTTCCAAAGGTTCCAGAAGGGAACAGGTGAGCCGCAGCCCTTCGGCTCCCTTGTTCAGTCACCTGCCACTGGTTTCCTGTGGCTCCTTCCAGTGAGTTGTGCTGACCTAGGATCCATGACACTTGGTTTCCCCATCTATAAGGTAGGAGGGCAGCCCTGCCCACTGCCATGGCCTCTGCCCAGCCTGCTGTAGCCCCTGCTCAAGGTGTAAAGCCCAGGCCAGGCAGGCAGCTGCCCCCGCCAGCTCTGAGGGGGGCCTTTATTTAGCTTCAGCTTCCCTGGCGGCCACTCAGAGGGCACCAGGAAAAACTTGATGGCCGCCTAGCCGAGACCAGCAGGGTGGTAGGTTTCTGTTGCTGCCCAAGGGCAGCCATGACGCCCACCCGAGAGCCCCTCACAGGTCAGTGAGAAGTCTCTAGGGCGACGCAGGCCCTCGTGGAGACAGGTTGCAGAGGCCAGGACTGTTTTTTCTTTTCCCTCCATGAGGCTAGGACCTCGACCCCCACCCGCACGGGGACAGCTGAGGCTCAGGACTGTCTGCGTCAGTCCTCTGAAGCACTTGAGAGGGGCCCCGGTTTCTCGATTCTCACCCACTATATGCCTGGCCCTGTGCTGGGACCTGGAGGTATGGCCTCGAATCGGTACAGAAGCAAGTTGGCGGACTGTGCTGGTGGCAGTCCCACGACAGTGATAATGAGAGCAAGACACTGAGCGCGGTGTGGGAGCGGTTGCTGTGGAGTCGTTTATTTCATCCTCACAGCACCCTGTGAAGCTTCATTTCACAGAGGGGAAAACTAAGGCAGGGAGAGGTTTAAGGGCCTTAGCAAAGGACATGTCACCAGGAAGAGTGGTGGCATTGGGTACTGTGATGATGTGGTAACAACCATTCCCAGTTGGCGAGCCCTTACTCTCAGCCAGAGATCAACCTGAGCCCTCGGAGTCCATTTTGTCATTCTGAAGTACAGAACTCCATAATGTTCCTCAGAGAGAGCAGTTGTCCCCTTGGGCAAACAGTGATGATAGTGGTGACAGTAGCTGGCGTGGAGATGGTGCTTGCTGGCTGTCCACGGCCCTAGACCATTTGCTCTAATTTACAATCTTTGCTTCTCCTTAGTGCAGTCTGGTGAGGTCAGTGTCCATCTGACAGATGAGGAAACAGGTCATGAGAGGTTAGGAGGTCAGGTTCAGGGACACCCAGGCAGTACACAGTGACCTTGGAATGTGACCGAGGTCCTGGGGCTCTGAGGCTGCTCTCCACATTCCCACATTGTCTGATGATCACACAGGGGCCTTTGGGACTCGGTGATGCTGATGCTTAGGAGGCACTTGGGCCAGGCTCTGTGGAAGCTGAGACCTGGGCAAAGCAACTGCAGTAAGGGACAGAGAGCTCCAGGTGCAAGGGAACACATGTGCAGAGGCCGGAAGGTAGGGGAGAGGCCGTGCATTTGGGGCCCAGCCCTGCACCGGGCCTTGCTGTCCGCTGGGCAGCTGGGAGCAGGGGTCAGGGGTCCCGTCCCCACTCCAGGATGGGGCGGTGGGCAGGCTGCAGTCCGATGTGTATGTTTCAAAGACTCCTCTCTCAGCTTCTGAGTCTGGATTGGGGGACAGCAGTTGAAGGTGGTGTTGGATTTAGTCCACAGTTCTGCACTGAGCAGGCACTGCCAGGAGCCCAGGAAGATGATGGTGGAGCCCAGCAGGGCTGGAGAGCAGACAGCACTGAGTGATGTGATAGGCGTCTGAATGGGGTCTGAGTGAAGGAGCGGTGTGATGGGTGCCGTCACTGAGTGTAGGGCACAGTGGAAATGGACATTTTGGGTAAAACATCCAGGGTGGGGGCATAGGAGGCTGTTGGGCACCAAGATGGGGCTCCAGAGGGCATGCTGTGCTGCAGACAGAGCTGAGGGGGCCTCGTGAATGTTCCAGGCTCAAGACTCTCAGTGGAGTGAATTAGAACCATCAAACAGTGGAAACCACTGGCTCTTGGTGCCAGAGCGGGGCAGGGGTGGGGGGCGGGCAGGGGCCAGTGAGCAGGCCTCAGTGGGGTGCAGAAGATGGAGTGGGAGGTGGGAGTGGTTTTCCCATCTTGAGAGAGGACAGGGCAGAAGACCAGATTTTGGGGGGTAAAATGGTGGGCTCAGTTTTGGACAGGGAGTTGGAGATGCCTGCAGGACACCCAGGCAGAGGTGGACTGAGACGGTTGGGGGACAGGATGGTGCCCTGGTGTTGCTGACAGAGATTCTAAGGAAGAGGGGGCTCCTAAGACCCTGGTGGAGGATCTCTGTTCATCTAGGAAGCATTTTCTGAGCCCCTACTATGTGCCAGTGTGTGTGTGACGCAGTGAAAAGACCTGTCCGCACTTGCACGAAGCCAGTATCCTTGGGGAGGGACAGTGCCCAAATCATGAGACATAATTGTCGCTGGATGTTTGCAGGTGACGTGTGCTGAGACGGGAGATGAGGCAGGACAGGGGTTAAGAGGAAGTCTTGATCTCCAGTGAGGTGGTCAGGGAAGGCTTCACCTGTGAGGCAACTTTTGAGTCAAGGTGGTAAGGATACAAGGGAGTAAGCTGTGGGGGAGCCTGGGGGCCCTGAGGTTTAAAATGGGTCCAAGAAAAGGGAAGGCAGACAGTGTGGCCGGAGGGGTGGGGAGCAGGAGGAGGTGAAGGCACAGAGGTGACAGCAGATCATGTAAGGCCTTGTCACTTGGCTTCGGGGAGGACTTGGGCTTTTGCTCTGAGTGAGGTGGGAGTCGTGAAGAGTTCTGAGCAGCGGAGGGACCTGCCATGACTCAGGTGTGCGTAGATGTCTGTGGGGGAGTGTGGAAGCAGGACACAGGTTAGCACAGACATTCCTTGAGACCATCCCAGGTGTATCCTGGAAGCCCTTAGCTGGGATGGGGCCGGGGTCAGTGGACAGGCTCTTCTCCAGAGTAATGGGCCGTTCCTGCCCACAGGCCCGGGTAGAGCGCATGGAGCAGTTCCAGAAGGAAAAGGAGGAGTTGGACAGGAGCTGCCGTGAGTGCAAGCGCAAGCTGGCTGAGTGCCAGCGCAAACTGAAGGAGCTGGAGGTGGCCGAGGGTGAGGGCAGCAAGGCGGAGCTGGATCGGCTGCAGGCCGAGGCTCAGCAGCTGCGCAAGGAGGAACGGAGCTGGGAGCAGAAGGTGGAGGAGATGCGCAAGAAGGAGAAGAGCATGCCCTGGAATGTGGACACGCTCAGCAAAGACGGCTTCAGCAAGGTATGTGAGAGTGGGGGGCTGGCAGGGACTCGTAACCCTGAGTGGGCTCTGTGACCATTGGCAGGTTGGGGGGCAGTTGAGGACTGCACAGGTCAAGGGAGGGAAGGATCGGGGGTGTGGGAGGAACAGGGGTGTCAAGTGGATGAAGCGCCCCACCGGTCCCCTTCTGATCTGCCCAAAGGCCCTAGTCCGAGGCCACATGTGCCACGCTCATGCTCCTGCCACATTGATGTTCATGGCGCCATCGCCGCCGCCACCATGGATGGGATGGGCGCTGCGGCCACGGCCCGCCCGGCCACGTGCGAGGCGCCCCGAGGCCTCACCCCAGCCCACTCCCCCTCTCACCCCACCACAGAGCATGGTCAACACCAAGCCCGAGCAGGTGGAGGAGGAGTCGGAGGAGGCGAGGGAGCAGAAACACAAGACTTTTGTGGAGAAGTACGAGAAACAGATTAAGCACTTTGGTGAGCTGGGTGCAGGGGACCACCAGTGGGGGCCTGGGAGTTGTGTGTGTCGGGCTGGCTCTTGGTCCCTGGGTCTTTCCAGCACCCTGTCAACGCTTTGTCGCAGGCATGCTCCACCGCTGGGACGACAGTCAGAAGTACCTGTCAGACAACTCCCACCTGGTTTGCGAGGAGACAGCCAACTACCTGGTCATCTGGTGCATTGACCTAGAGGTGGAGGAGGTCAGTGGAGTGTGCCCGGGGGCCAGAGAGCTGCTCTACCCTTAGGCTGCCCCTTGGTGACGCTGTGCTGGTTCTCCCTGGGCAGAAATGTGCACTCATGGAGCAAGTGGCACACCAGACCATCGTCATGCAGTTCATCCTGGAGCTGGCCAAGAGCCTCAAGGTGGACCCCCGTGCCTGCTTCCGGCAGTTCTTCACTAAGATCAAGGTAGAGGCCCAGAGTAGCTGTGGCGAGGTGAGGGGTGGTCCTCAGGGCCCAGGGCCTGTGTGATCAGCACCTTATACTTCAGGAGAGGGCTGAGCCACGGAGGAGATGAGAGGTGGTGGCTTCCGGACAGATTTTGAAAGAGGGTGAGGGACAGAGTCAAGGGCACCTCCAGGTTTCTTACCCTGAGCATCTGGAAGAATAGAGCTCCCCGCACTGAGCAGGGGAGACTGAGGGCAGAGCAGGTGTGGGGGCGGGGCACGATCCAGAGCTCGGGAGTGGCTGCGTTGGGTTTGAGCCGCCCATGAAAATCCCCGCAGGACAGTGAGGAAGTGGGTGTCAGAGTCCACGGTTCAGGGGGATATGCAAGCATGTGGTTATTCGCATGTAGGCACACCTCGTTTTAATGCATTACTTAGTAGGTATTGTGTGTTTTTTCATTATTACAATTTTTGTTAGAGTGATCGGTGATCAGTGATCTTTGATGTTACTAGGGCAAGACCAGCAAAAAGATTACGACTCGCTGAAGGCTCAGATGATGGTTAGCATTTTTTAGCAATTAAATATCTTTTAATTAAGGTATGTACATTTTTTAAGACATAACACTGTTGCATACTTAGACTGCCATATACTGTAAACGTAATTCTTATGTGTACTGTGGCGCCAGATGCTCATGTGACTTGCTTTACTGCAGTACTTTATTGCATTGGTCTGGAACCAGACCACACTACTTTCGAGGTCAGCCTGTGTAGGTGGTGCAGTCTGAGCTTAGAGGTGGAGACTAGATGAAGTAGAGAAGAGACTCAAGCCCCACGGTGTCTCTGAGGACCGGCAACAGGAGGGTCCTGGGTCCCTCAAACCCCCCTGGTCTCCTGCTCCCCGCAGACAGCTGACCGCCAGTACATGGAAGGCTTCAATGACGAGCTGGAGGCCTTCAAGGAGCGCGTGCGGGGCCGTGCCAAGCTGCGCATCGAGAAGGCCATGAAGGAGTACGAGGAGGAGGAGCGCAAGAAGCGGCTTGGCCCTGGTGGCTTGGACCCTGTGGAGGTCTACGAGTCTCTGCCCGAGGTGCGGAGCCTCAGCCCCAGGCAGGCGGCAGGCAGGTAGCCAGCAGGACCCCTGGGTGTTCTAGGCACCGAGGCCCTGACCTCAGCCCCTCTGCCTCCACAGGAACTTCAGAAATGCTTTGACGTGAAGGATGTGCAGATGCTCCAAGACGCCATTAGCAAGATGGACCCCACCGTAAGTTACGATGTCCCGGGCTCACCCATTAGCCATGCTGGCCAGCGGTGCGTCCCTCAGCTCTGCTCCAGGCCAGCTGTCCACGTTGCTGGTAGGAGGGTCTCCTGGGCTTCTAGAAGGAATCAGGGAGGTTGGGTCACTGTGTGGCTGGCATGCGAGGCAGTCAGGTGTCACACACTCACATTTATTGAGCACCTGCTGGGTGCCTGGCTTCCAGACTGAGTGTCACTGTCACCGTGGTCCTTTATAAGTACAGCCTCCACACCCTGCTGCCCCTGTCTCGCCGCTGACTTGAGGTGGCCCAAGGAGGGGTTCCTCCTCGGCATCAGTTACTGCATCATTGCCACAGATTCTCTCCTGTAATTCACCGGCCACATGGGGGAGGGGCTGGGCACACGGCAGATGCTGGTAAACCTTGGCTGCAATAATTGTTCAGAGCAGTAACAGTGCTGTGAGATGGATCTTAATAGAGTTGGGTTTGATGCATTCCTGCCAGCTGGCTTACTGGTTGGCCATACTGGTTTCCTCATCTGTGAGATGGGTCAGTCAGATGATCTTTCTGGGATTTGTAGAAGCTTCTGTGGGGAATGAGCTCTAGACCAAGGGTCTTCGAACTCTGGCTCACAGCCTCACTGCCTGTCTCTGGTATGCAGAGGCTGTGCTCACTGAATTTCACGTTGTCGGTGACTGATTCTGTGCTGTAACCAACCAGAGTTGAGGAGTGATGGATGGAGTAATTGCGACCTGCAAGCCAAATGTTTTGATCTGGCCCTTTACAAAAATGTTTGCTGACCCTTCTGGACCTGCACGGTTTTAAGTTTGAATTAAAGTTAGGGAAAACTGAAAATTCTGTCCCTCACCGCACCAGCCAAATTTGATGTGCTTGGTAGCCATATGTGGCTGGTGCCTGCCATGTCAGATGACAACACAGGATATGGACCCTTTCCATCATTGCAGACAGTCTTTTTGGACAGCTCTGATCTAGGATAAGTGGATGCAGGCCTCAGGGTGTGCAGGAGACAGGTGGGCTGCCTGGAGGTGGTAGCTTGGCCTCACCTGTCTGTCTGCCTTTCTCCCTGTAGGACGCGAAGTACCACATGCAGCGCTGCATCGACTCAGGCCTCTGGGTCCCCAACTCCAAGTCCAGTGAGGCCAAGGAGGGAGAGGAGGCGGGCCCTGGGGACCCCTTGCTGGAAGCCAGCCATCCAGATGAGAAGGATGTCAGCGCGTGACCCTGCCTGCCTGCAGGCTTCTGTGCACCCCTTTTCAGAGAACGAAAATAGATGCCATTGCCCTAGCTCCTGGCTTCCGTCACTTCCCCCACCCTCAGCCTGAGAGACCTGCCCCTACGCCCCCACCTCCCAGCACTCATCCAAGTCTTGCTTTGAGTTGAGGGGCTTCGCTGCCTGCAGCTCCCCCCATCAGCACTATGCCAAAGGCCCAGGGGTCCAGGGAGGGGTGGAGTTGGTTAGGCTGATCCACAGGGGAGGGGGGAGGGTCCCCAGCTGAGGGACCTGCTCCAGTCACTGGGCTGTTGCCACTGTTTGTCAGCTGTCTAGTCTTCTATATGGTAAACAGCAGTGATCTTCCAATAAAGGATTTCAGATGCTCTGTACAGCGTTGCAAGGGCTGTTGGCACAGCTCTTTTCTGGGAGTGGGGGGATCTGGTGAGTGTCGGTGGCTGAACCCCTGAGTTCCACACTTTGCCCTCCAGCTCTCTGGGCAGTTCCTGTGCGCCAGACACATGCTGGTCCGTTCTCTTCCACCCGAGTTCTCTCCTGCCTCTCACCTCTGTGGCTTATCTCACTCCTCCAAGTCTCCCTCACCACACCTGCCCTTCCATGTGGGTAGCTCTGTCTCCAGAACACCTTCAACCTGACCGCTGCTCTTTATCCACATGGCCTCCACCCTGGTCCAGGTCCCCGTCACCTCTGGCCTGAACACCTGCCCCACACTAGACCCCAACACGCAGTGGCCAGAGTGCACCTATGAACACCAGTCAGGGTATGGCCCTCCCTAGGCTCACTAGACCCTGAACCGCCTACCCAGTCTCCTCCTGCCCTCATCTTGTGTCCCCCTACTCTTCTTGCCTCACCCATCTGTGAGCACTTGAAATTTCTCAGTGTGAGCTTGGGCGACTTACTCAGCCTCAGCACTGGTCCCTGTACAATGAGTGATGGTAGTGCCTTCCTCCCGGGGTTGCGATGATAGGAGACAAGTGCTACAAGCAGGCAGGTGCCTGGCATGTACATGCTCACACAGAAGTGGGCATTGGTGCATGCCTGTCCCTCTGCCTGTACACCCCCATGGTGTCTTCAAATGGGGCTCCTTTGAAAAGATAAATATTTGGGCCCTAGGAAAGGCCAGAGATAGTACAATGAGCAAGGACATACCAGCTTAAGATATGAAATATCGAACCAGTGAAGTCCTTTGCCGGCCCCACTTGGGGACCACTACCCCCAGCAGCTGCTCGTTGCTAAGGCCAGAGCTCGCTGCCACCTCCCAGAGGCCCTCCACCAGCCTTCTGAGCTGCCCCTCTTGACCAGCCAGGCAGCTTGCTTCACCTGTCCAAGTGCCTAAATTTGCTGACTTGTGCACTGTGTCCACTATGCTGTGAGCACCACCAGGGCACAGATGGAGTCTTTCCTGATCCTGAGATATTTTCAGTGCCCACATGGGGTCCTAGCACACAGCTCCTAAATAAACTTCCCAAAGCTAAGGGCCCCTAGGATGCTGATGTGCCCAGGCTGATCACCACAAGGGGGCAATAGTGAGCCACACCACCTAATGCTTTTCTTACGGATGAGAGGCAGGTGGGGGATATGGATGGCCAGGAAGGGAGCCCCCCTCTCTTAAGGCCCTGGATAAACCTCTCCCATCCAGGATTTGCCAGCTTTTTAATTCTTTACTGTGAAAGCTTTCAAAGATATTCCATATTCCCAATTTTTCCATTTGCCTCAGGCTTTTCTGTAACTCAACACTGTAACTGATTTCTAAAATATCAATATTTTGTTCTTCATGGACTTTTGTGTTCATTGTGCTTTTTGAAAATACTGCATTATTAAAGTATTTATATTGGCTACACAGTATTTTGACACCCTCTTTGCTTTCACGCCTCACCCTAGCTCTGGCCCTAGTAGGTCACAGGACTTACAACATCAAAGGCTGGCTGCTGGGGCTCCCATGTGGCGTGGAGGCGACTGGGAGAGCGGGCCTTGAAACTGCACTTGGCTCCTTCATTTCCAATGTGGAAGAAACTCACATGGATTCCCTGGACCCTGAAAAACTTACAATGTCCCTATGCTAAAACCCCCAGCTCAGGGCCTGCAGGTTTCCTTAGCTTATCCAGTGCAAAAAGAATCATCCTTGCATGCAAATTGGCCCATCAATGCTCACCATCAGGCTCCTTGAACTGAAATCAGTTATCGTATCTCAAGCTGTGATGACAAAAGCTGTAGAGCCCCAGATGTCGTCGACCGAACCAGAAACCTCGGACGAGACACCCTGGCTGAAAGCACATGGCAGTGCCCTCCTTGTGATGAAGACTGGGATAAAGATTTGTGGGAACAGACCAGCACCCCATTAGCCTGGGGCACAGCCAGCGACTGTGGAAAGAACAGCCCTGTAAGCCACCTGGTTATGGGATGTCAGACTAGCCTACCCTCAGACATGCGTGTTGCCAAGTCTCTGACGGACAATGGACATGCGCAGTGACTGAATATCTCATCGAATGCCTGGACCTGGAAGAATCTTGCTTTTTCCTAGGGGTTCTTCGGTTTTCTCCTCATCTAATTATAGAAAGATAATCTGTCACTTTCAAACTGCCAAGTGCCTTTTTTTTCCTTCCCCTTTTGCATCCTCACTCATTTCATGCAAGAAAGAACCATCATACTTAGAAAAACTGTTTTAGGTAAACCGTGGATGTAAAGAGCTTGAAACAAACAAACACACACCAAATGCTATTCAGGGGTTCACAGAGGAGCACCTCCCTCTCTGCTCATCCTCCATCCAGCTGGTTCCCTGCTCCTGATATCTAGACCCACTCTTTGTGGCTTCTTGTGACTTCCCAAGGTTTCTTTTTGTAAAATCAAATTATTCTTATCCCTTTCCCTTCTTTTTACACAACGAGTAGCCCACTCTGCACTGTGAGACACATCTCGATTTCTTCACTGGACACTAGAGTCTGCCGTACTTCCTCATTCTTCCTCCCTCACGTGGAAAACTCTGTGTGTGCACATCTCAGCACTTACGTCACCAGCCCTTTTTGAGAAACACTCGGGTTTCCTCTAATCTTCACTTTTTCAAGCAATGCCACAAGAAATGCCCTTATAAGTACCATTTCCCATGAGTATAGACTGCCCAGATGTAGGAAAAATTCCCAGAAGCAGGACTGCTTAGTGGGAAAGAGAATTCCACTGAAAAGAGTAGAGGGACTGGTGTCAGTGATGTGAGCAGGGTTGGAAAATGAACAGACATATGTTGAGTGTATTAGTGTTCTATGGCTGCTGTAACAAACTGCCACAAACTTGGTAGCTGCAACACAAATGTATTATCTTCTAGTTCTGTAGGCCAGACATCTCGCACACTAAGATGAAGACACTGGCCAGACTGTGAGCCTTCTGGGTAGGATTGCCTCCTTGCCTTTTCCAGCTGCTGGGGAAGGCCTGCATTCCCTGGCTCATGGCCCCTTCCTCCATCTTCAAAGATGGCAAACATGAGCGAAGTCCTTGAATCGAATCCCTCCAACTGCTTTTTCTGCCTCTTCCTTCCACTTTTAAGCATCTTTGTGACTAGGCTGAGCCCTCGGGCTCATCTCCCTAGTTTAAGGTCAGCTGATTAGCATCCTTAGTTCCATCTGCAACCTAATCCTCCCTTGCTATGTAGCAAAACATAGTCGGGTTCTTCAGGGGTGGGACCTGTTATTCTGCCATGGGAGACCCCCAAGAATTAGCAGCAGCGCAGAGCCATTCCTGAGTCCAGGGCTACGGGGGGTGAGAGGGAGCTCCCTGCAGGATATGCAGAGGGACCACTGCCTGAACTGGGTCAGATACCCCCTGTTTGCTGCTCTTCCACCTCTGGTCTCCTGTCCGTCTTCCCCACGGGCAGAACCCATCAGGAACCAAGGTGTGGAAGCTGGGTAATAGGACTTGCTTTTTTTGTGGCCACAGGAAGGGGGAGCCCTCAGTCCACAGTTACTCATGGACAACCTGTATTTGTGGCTCCACCTGGGTGCCAAGGAAAGTTAAACTCCATACCCCGTACCCCCTACCTGTCAACTTCTTTTGTCCCTAGCACTGGCCTCCTTCCCATACACCGTGAATCCTGCTTCTTAGTGTTTGTCTAGTTTGTGTCAGCTCCTGCAAGGCAGGGATTCTTGTTTTGTTTTTTTTTTTAAGATTTTATTTATTTATCTTTAGAGGGGAAAGGAAGGAGAGAGGGAGAGAAATATTGATGTATGATTGCCTTTGGTGCATCCCCTGCTGGGAACTGGCCTGCAACCCAGGCATGTGCCCTGACTAGGAATCGAACCACAGTTGTTTAGTTTGCAGGCTCGCACTCAATCCACTGAGCTACACCAGCCTGGGCTCCTGTGTTTTGTTCATGGCAAAATCCCAGGGCCTAGACCACAGCACACAGTAGGTGCTTGCACAGGTCTGTTTTTAAAGTTGTGGTAAAATGTACATAGCATACAACTGACCGTTTTCAGGTGTACGATCCAGTGGCATTAAGTACAAGGAACTCTGTACCCGTTAAACACTAACTCTCCATTAATAAAATATCTGTAATTTGGTATCTGACTTCACTTAGCATAATCTTTTCAAGGTTCACCCATAGTGAAGCACGTGTCAGGATTTTATTTTTGAAAGCAGCACAATATTCCACTGTGTGGATGTGGCACATTTTGCTCATCCACCGATGAACACGACTGCTTCCTATGGGTTATGCCGCTGTGAACGTCGATGCACAAGCGTCTCTCTGAGCCCTTGCTTTCTTTTGCACATACACCCGGAGGTGCAAGTGCTGGACCGTAGGGGAATTCTACGTTTACCTTTGTTGAGGAACCACTAAACCATCAGCCTGTTTCAATCTAGTGTCGGAGGCAGAGTGGGGGCTTCTCCTCAAAACCATTTTGTGTCTTTTCAATTTGGAACCGTGTGAATGAATTACTTATTTAAAAATAAATATTAAAAAAATAACATCAAAAAAAGAATGGTGGTATAACATGTTTCTTGGAACCACTGAAACCACAAAATTGGGAACCACAGGCTCTGGCCAGGTAGCTCGGTTGGTTAGTGTCCTCCCAACGACCAAGGCTGTGGGCTCCATCCCCGGTCAGTCAGGGCACACACAACAATCAATGCATCTCTCTCTCCCCGCACCCAAACCCCCACCCTCCCTCGCCCTCTCCCTTCCTTTCTCTTAAATAAAAAAATTCTCTCATACACATAACTGTTTATCCATGAGAGAAGGGACAAAGAATTGTAGCAAATTAATGTCTACAATGCTGCACCACAGAGCCATGAAACTGAGTGAATTGGATCAACTTGCATCAATATGGATGAAATTAATCAACAGAAACATGGCCAGCATATCTCAATTTTTGAAAAGGCAAATTCACCCATGTTTTCTGTGTGACTTCACTTTTTACACTTAGGCTTATGAAGAATTTCTAATCACATGAAAAATACTAAAGGTGAATGTTAACTACTAAGGAAACAAAATTATACATTCAGTATGATGTCAATTTTTTTTTTTTTTAGCCTCACCCAAGGACACTGTCTTTCATTGCTTTTAGAGACAGAGGCAGAGGGGAGGGGAGAGAGAGAGACACTAATTGGTTGCCGCATGAGCGCACCCCAACCAAGGACTGAACTTGCAACCTGGGTGTGTGCCCTGACCAGGAATCAAACCTGTGAACTTTCAGTCTACAGGGATGACGCTCCAACCGAGCCACGCTGGCCAGTGCATATTTTTTTTCGTTCACATTTTAAAATTATTGTTCAAGTACAATTGTCTCTATTCCCCCCACACACCACTCCCTCCAACTCCAGCCACCCCGCTTCCCATCTTTCTTTTTAAATACATAAAAGTTATACTTAGAAATTTGACATCGGCAACTGATCGATGTTTCTCTCTCTCTCTCTCTCTCTCTCGTTCTCTCTTCCCCTCTCTCGAAAATAAAAAAAAAAAAGTAAAAAGAAAGAAATATGGACAGAGCAAGCAGCAGAGTCCAGCAGATGGCTAAGAATGACATAAGTTCAAGGACAGGCTTCCCCTCTGAGCCTTAGCCGGCCAGCTCCCCTGCTTGGACCATTCTTCCCCTGACATCTCTGTGGCTTCGCCTCAGGTGAGAAAGACAGTCCCAGGCTGCCCGTCACAAATGGTGCCCAGCTCTTCTCTTTGCTTTTTCCATATTGTGTCGCCACATGCTACACTGTTTATTATTTTATTTATTCTTCTTCCCTGCTGTCTTTCCATCTAGAATGTCCATGTGCCAAGGGCAGGGCATTTTATTTGCTCTCTTGTCTGCAGAGTCCCGGGGCACAGCACTGGCACTCAGGAGACTGTACTTACTGACTAGAAAGCAGTCTTCCTCCGCGCAGGGGGGCACGGCCGCCTCCAGATGGCTGCTCCCTCAAAGGATACACGTGGAGAGTGAAATCAGCACCCTTTCCCTGGTACTTATTTCTTTATTAAAATTTTCTAATTGATTTTTAGATAGAGAGAAACATTAATTTGTTGTTCCATTTATTTACACATTCATTGGGTGATTCTTGGATGTGCCCTGACCAGGGATTGAACCCTCAACCTTAACGTACCCAGATGACACTCTAACCTCCTGAGCTACTTGGCCAAGGCTCTCGTTGGTATTTATGCTATTTTCTTTTTGTACCTGAGTGGATGGCACACAGGTGAATTTTTTTTAGCTTTAAAAAACTCTGATATAATTGACATATAACATTAGGTCCATTGGTTTCAGGTGTACAACATAAGATTTGGTATTTGTATACATTGCAAAATGATCGCCACAATAAGTCTAGTTAATGCCCTTTACCATACACAGTCACAAAAACGTTTTCTTCTGGTGACAACTGTTCAGAAATCTGCTTTCCTAGCAACTTTCAAGTATACAATATAGTATTGTCACACTCTGTCCCCATTGAACACTCATTCCCCAGGCCCCTCTCCCAGCCCCCCGGCTCCCACTGTCTACTTTCTATCTCTACGAATGTGACTGCTCTGGCGATCTCGTATAAGTGGGTCACATTGTATTCGTTCTTCTGTGTCAAGCTTCTTGCACTTCACATGTTTTCAAGGTTCATCCACGTGTGTCAGAACTCCATTCCTTGTTTTTTTTTTTAATTTATATATTTTTAGAGAGAGGGGAAGGGAGGGAGAAAGAGAGGGAGAGAAACATCAACCTGTAAGCTACATCAGTAGATTGCTTCTTGTGTGCCCCTAACAAGGACCTGGCCTGCAACCCAGGCATGTACCCTGACCGGGAATCCAATCAGCACCCTTTTGGTTCCCAGGCTGGCACTCAATCCACTGAGCTGCCCCAGACAGGGTCTTTTCCTTGTCATAACTGAACAATACTGCACTATATATATATATACACCACATTGTTTGCTTATTCATCTGTTAATGGACACCTGGCTTGTTTCCACCTTTTGCCTAGGTGATGTTTTTTTAAATTTCTTTACCTTTTTGAATGTCCGAAATATTTCACAATAAAACAATTCTGCAAAACAGATCTATACAGAGTGGAAAGGAAAGCGTGCCAAGAAATGTCATTAAATGAAAAAGGTAACGGTGCTCAGTTCACACCAGGCTCTGTTCTAAGCTCTTTACATGTTTGAGACTCTGATTACCTCTGAGTCTGGAACTCTGACTAGCCCCATTTTGCAGAAGAGTAAACTGAGGCACAGTGAGATTAAGGGACTGTCCAGGATCAGGCAGTGTCTGAGTAGGGATGTGAGCCCGGACCCTCCGGCTCCAGCCTTTGTGTGTAAACACCTGTTTCCTCCTGAGACCAGCACAGAACATCTCACCCATGGCTGCTTGTAGGAACTTTCTAGAGATCATGTGTTCGCACGTAGTTGTGGAACTATGCACCCACTAGTTGTAGAACTTTCTTGGAAGGATTCCAAACCAGCCTCATGGCTTGACTATTTCCTGAACCCACCAATTCAAAAGGCTGCAAAGGGATTTTGTTTTTAATTCACCATCTCCTGGCTTCCCAGGTCTGGAGGGAGCTGTGGGAAAGCCACTTCCTACAGGCCTCTGGAGTTCGGGGGAATACCCAGTTCTAATAGCTTCCTCTTGATAAACCCACTGGGGAAGGCAGCCAATTGTCTTAGCTTGCTCAGCCTGTCCTCCTTTTAACCTCAAAGTCCCCCACCTGGGAACTCCCTGCAACTGTCCTGGGAAAATCCAAACAATTGTTGGGGTGACATACAGACTTCCTGCTGGGCCTGTGATGTAGGGGACAGCACACAAGCCTTCCCCCGCAGCCTCTGTGACTTCTAGTTCCTTCAGCTGTCAAGTGGGCATGCTGGTCCCACTTTAAAAGAACGGAAGAGTTCTAAGTACCCAGCCCTGAGCCCAGCATCTGGGATGGGACGATATGAGTTACTACTATAATTTATTATTATTACTGGGATTATTTTCATTATTGCTATTAGTCCCCTCATCAGACATTTCCCGTCAGTCCCTCCTAAGGAGGTAGATGCCAGGTCCCAGGCCCACCCTGTCCTCTGTTGTACAGCCTCCAGGCCCAGCGGAAACTGCCCCGCCTCCCCTGGAATCGAGCTGTTAAGGAATCTGGCACCCTTGGCTTCCCGCTGCTACACTCCCAGTGGCAGAAAGGAAGCTGAGGTTGGAAGGTCACTGCCAGCCTTTCCTAGTGGACAGGACAGTAGCTTGAGCCCAGAGAGCTCCCTAGGCCATTTATTCCACCAGTGGAGGATCAAACCTGTAACCCTGGTGCACAGGGAGGATGCTCTAACCAACTGGGCTAGGCGGCCAGGGCTGTTTTCCTTCCTCCCTTCCTATGGAACACTTCACGAATCTGCATGTCATTCTCGTGCAGGGGCCGTGTTAGTCTCTGTACTGTTCCCATTTTATTATACATGCTGCTGAAATGAGCACTGTTTGTGCAGTTTTTAAACTGAAGGCCTCTTACTGGTCCTGCTTCCTTGAGATGCCATGACCAGGTGGAAAAGGGGAGGGGAACCAGGGGCTACAGGGAGGAGTGAGTCATCTCCAGAAGCTTCCATTCATACACAAGCAAAGACTTACTATTGCAGCTGGAAGCTGGCAGCATGGGAAAGGGAACAGGTGGGGAGATGGGATGTCGTCAAAAAAAAATACATTTGCCCCCAATCTGGGGTGCCCAGGAAGAACTTGGTCTGCCTAAACCCAAGAGGAATCAGAAGATCAAAAGTGGTTTGGGAAGGCCAGAACCATCGGGGGGTGCAGGGGTGCTTCCTAAATCCTGTTGTCTGGGGTTTTACGAGGGCACCATTATATGAGCGCAATTGATTAAATGACTGGCTATTGGTGATTAAGTTCAATCTCCAGCCCCACTTACCTCCTTCCCTGTATACGGACGTAAAGTGGGGCTGAAAAGTCCCACCCTCGAATCACATGGTTGGTCCTAACAAGGGTTCTAGAGGCTCTGTGCCAGGAGTTGAGGACAAAGACCAAATATACATGTCTTATTACATCACAATATCGCATGTAGAAAGGCCGTTTCTCCATCAGAGAAGGGTATTTACGGTTTCAAGTTCTCAGGCTCATCTGTATCGGCTCATTATTACCATTCTAAACCCCAGGAAACCGCCCCCCCTTCACACTCAGTGCCCAGACTTCAACATGAGAGTCCACTGTTTATCTGCATTTAAATGGCTTCGCCATTCTATAACCCATACAATTAGACCTTGAGCCTGGCCACCTGTTCCTGTAAAAGTAAGCGATTCTGTAATGGCCACCATGAGACAGAACCACCATATGTTCTCTTATAAGAATGTTCCTCGCAGCCACAAAATTGGAAAGCATGAGCCATCACCAGGAGAATGGACAGATAAGGTTTAAAATTCTTTTAAATTTATTAATTTTGAGAGAGACAAGAGACAGAGAAACATCAACTCGCTGCTCCATCCATCCATGCATTCATTGGTTGTTTCCTGTACATTCCCTGACTAGCATCAAACCCACAACCCTGGTGCATGGGGTCGACGTTCTAACCAACCGAGCTACCCAGCCAGGGCTGGACAATTAAGATCTGATCCTTCAATTTGCACAGCTGAGATATGATAAGGCATAGAAAAGGAGTATTCTAGAGCCATTTGAGCCAACAAGATATTATTGAGTAAATAGAATCAAGTGGCAGGACATGAACAATTCGGTATATTTTTATAACGTTGAAAAGCATGCGCAAAGTGTTTGAAGATTTAAGTAAAACAAGGGGAAGAGTCATAAAATAATCTGAGGAAGTAGCCGCGGTCCAGCCGCAGCGGGTCAAGGGGTCCCACAGGTGAGGGTAGGTGTCGGCGCTGGGTAACAGACAACACGCCTCAAAGGACAGTGAAGCTCTGTTCCGTTTATTGCAAGTACAAGCAGGTTTTTATATTTTCATTTTAGGTAGTGATTAATATTTGCAGTATAACATGATCATTTAAGCAGAAAAAATCAAAACAAAGGTAATCAGTAAAAGTACGAAAGTTCCCATAGATTTAGTTAAAGATTATTTTTACTAGGAGAGCCATTAATCAATTAGAAGTATCTTATTGTATATTAAAGTTTCTCAGAATTTGTCATAGGGCAAAAGGATACGCTAGATTGAGTAGAGAAAATAGGAAATTTATTATAAGGCCCTTGTGATGTCTAACTTAGCTATCTACCTTTTTTTTGCTTAAAATGTTTTTCTGTGTACCATAAATTCTGACTCCCTAGTGACTGTTTAGTTTGTAATAACTAACTAGCTTTTGTTATTTCTTTGCCTGTCTAGTTGATATATATTCTTATTCAAGGTAAAGGAGGGGCTATTCCTATGTTGCAGGGGGCTTTTAAGGGTACTTCTTTTAAGTTTCTCTAGGAGTTCTTTTATAGACATGTTTTGTACTTTGATTCCCTCTAAGAAAGCAGTGAGATCATCTCCTGATTTCCTAGAGTATTCTATCTTATCTTGGGTGTTCTTCTAATGATCTGTTATTGATTAAGCTTGAATTCTCAGATTGTTCTGGTTGTTTCTTTGTACCTATATTCCCTGACGTTTCTAGTATGATATTATTATTCCGTTCATTGAGCCGGGAAAGGTCCAGGCACACTATCTGAATCACTGCCAGGGTATTCATAATGATTAAAGCAGAAAAGGGTCATGATCCCCAAAGCAAGCACAATCACAATAGGTATTGCAGGGCCTTCCATGCCACGTCCACCAGGTTGGAAACTGCTTCCTTGAAGTCTTACACCCCCTCTCAGGACCTTGTCACGGAGAGAGGGATCCAACAGTGGATGCGGCAGTGGACGTGGCAGGAAGTGTATACAGGTAGAGGGAGCAGCCAGTGCAAAGGCCCTGAGGCCAGACGGTGCCTGGTATGTTGGAGAAATACCAAGGAGGCTCCTGTGTCTGAAGCAGAGTGAGGGGGAGAATGGGAGGAGGTGAGAGCAGGGAGGGGGTGGTCACGCCGGTCCTGTGAACCATAGAAAGGAGTTGGGCTTTTCCTTCGAGTGAGGTAGGCACCCAGGAGGATTCTGAGTAGAGAAGGGACAAAGCCTGACTCAGGTGCTCACAGGTGCCCTCTGGGCAATGAAGGGAAGACAGACTGTGAGGGGTGAGGGTGGGAGCCCTGAAACAGGACAGAAGCAACTGCATTGGTCCAGCTGTGGGGTAATGTGGAATAGAGAGGGAGATGTGAGATACAGGCTGGTTTTTCTTATGAACCAGCAATAGGTGTGAGAAGCAGGGGAGTCAAAAAGGACCCTAAGATTTCTCTTCCTGAGCCAACCAATAATTCCATTTTCTCTTGAGTCCTTCCATAGGCGGGCTGAGCAGGCATAACAAAATAAAATTGTTCATTTATAAACTGGCCCGCACAGACAGAAGGTAAGGAGAAACCAGGGAAAGAGGCAGATCACTCCAGATTGGTAGGTGGCAGGTTTAACAAGCAAGGGAACTTACATATAAGACGTGTCCTGGATGGTGACCAGATCTCCGCCCCTGCCCACCAGAATCTTATGAACTTATACAGAGGTGTTATTGGAGTCCAGTCACATATACTGTTCAGATGATCTCAACAACACCTACTCTCTTGAGGCTGTGTCCTTGGAACGGTGTGCACTGTGGGAACTGTGGGTACAGCATGCATTACAAGGACAGAGCAGGGGTGAGCAGCCTCTAATTGTCTGGGTCCAGCTTGAGAGTCAACCAGTGGTCACGTCCTCCTGACAACCTCCTCCAAACACAATACATACTTTTTATTCCTCTCCTTTATTATGAAATATATAGACACTCTGGAGACATGTGTAAATGTGTGTGTGTGTGTATATATATATATTTTTCCCCCCCAACTGCATATTATTCCCTTGTCAGGATGAATTCCCCAGCCCCCAGGTTCCCAGCAGTCACTGCCCTCCCAGCTCCAGGCTCCGTTTCTCTCCACTACTTCGCACTGAATCTCCGTAGCTGCCTTGTGAGGAAGAATCTCTTTCTTCACATTTTCTCAGACTCACAGAGGAGCAAGCCATGTGCCCTTGGTCATAGCAGTTACAGCTCCATCTCCAGAAAGAGGCCTGGCTCTGCCCCTTTGTGTGGTGACCTGAAAAAGTTACTCGACTTCTGTCAAAGAAAAAAGTGATTCCGACGCTTGTTGAAACGGTAAGGAAGACTTTATTCATATCTACTGCAATAGGGGACTGTAACATGGCTGAGAGATCCGGCTCAGTTCTCAGTACTGCAAAGACAGCTGGGAACTGTGTGTGGTGGGGGGACGGGGGTGTGGTAATATCTGTGGATGGAAAATGACTAAAAGGAGACATCGAGGGTAGAGAGACTCTCCCCTTGCTAATCTGACCTATGAGTATTCTTGCCAAAGAGACACCCAGGACTTACACATCAAAGGTGGGGCGTGAGGAACTTGATCAGATATCAAGGGTGATGGGGTGACTTAGGAGTCTTTGCTCAGACTGGACTGGCAAAGACAGAACCTAGGCCAAGGTGGAGGGCTACTGGACAAGATGGCTCAGAGGACTAAAATTTGGTTAAAGAAAGACCCTTTGGCATTTCCTGTGTCTGTTTTTCTCTCTGAGAAATGGATATAAGAGCCACCACTCAAAGGACTGCTGCCAGGATCAAACAAACAAACAAACAAACAAACAAACAAACAAGAATGTAAAACGTCCAGCTTATAGCCTTCTTTGTAAAGGGCAGCGACTCACCGTGTGGGGATGATAATTCAGATCAGATGGAACGTCCAAGCTGCTACTTTGACAGCAAGGGGCCTCAGCGGGCAAGGATGTAAGAGATGTGAGCCTCTTGCAGACTAGGAAGCAGTCTGAGCCAGCGAGGTGTGGTCGGCCAGGCAGAGACAAGGCCGGATGGAACGGGGACTCACAGGGCAGGGGTTGGAGCACTGAGAGAGAGAAGGGCGGCTGACAGCCGTGATCTACTGAGATGAGGAAATAGGGCCCACCGCCTGCGTGGGCAATTGAGAACGCCGTGTCCCCGGAAAACCACACTCCTCCTCCTGCCAGTTCGGGCCACTGGTTTCCGCGTCTTCTCCCACCGGATGTCAGCCTGTCGCTGACTCAGGGGCACTCGGAAGCCAGCCCAACCAATCGCAGTTAGCAAAAAACGAACCGGAGACCAATAGAAGTGTCTCGTTGCAGGGAAAGGAACAAAGGTTATATGTGATTGGCATGGCGGCAGCCAATGACTTTGCCCTTTTCAGGTGGCCAATGGGAGGTGGCATCTCGGCGGCGGTGAGGTGTCGGTTGACTTCCTAGGCAACACTGGGTCCTGGATTCGAGCCAGAGTCGTCGGGCCAGGGTGAGTGAGGAGGAAGGGGACACGGAAAGGGCGCCCCCAGTGGTTATCAGGAAGTATGCGGCCGGCGGGAGGCGCGGGACTGGCCGCACTTGGCAAGAGGTGGATAGAAGCACCCGCTGCCTCGGGGACTGGTCTGTGCCTGGTGGGTGCACCTCACGGTTCCTGCCCTTGCCCGAGGGGTTTGGAGGTTTGGGTATGTGGGGTGCAGGCTTCCTGAGCTTAGACCTTACCCTGACTCCATCTTCAAAGCTGGGTCTGGGCCCAATGGGGGTGAGGAAGGATGGGAACCTCAAAAGCCCCATCACCACGATCTTAACTCAAAAGTTAATACACAATAGTAGCAAACTATTTATCAAGGGCCCATGACATGCCAGGCCCCGTGCCGAGCCTTTTCTCGGCCTCATCTCATTGAATCCTCCCCACAGTCCTTTGAGGAAGAGACCTTTTTGTGCTCATTTTCCAGGTGAGGAAACAAGCCCAGAGAGAGGAACTGATTCCTGAGGCATCCGACATTATGCTATTACAACATTCACCTTTTCCCATCACTGTCTTAAATCGGTAACATCAGTGGAATCGCTGACAGCCCCTCCCTGGAAATACTGGAGACCTCAGGAGGCCTGGGCTCTGGGCCTAGCCTTTGGAAAGTCCCAGAGCTGGTTTGTGTGGAGAGAGTAGAACCAAGCCCCTCCTTGGCCCAGGGGAGTCAGAAGGGCCTGGGTCGCTCATGGGAGTAGATGTGAGAGGCAGGAATCTTGGCCTGAAAGAGAAAAAATGATCACCAGAATGAAACCAGTAATGATTTTACTCTTGTTTTGTCATATTTGTTATTTTTTCAGGCCTATGTCAAGGTCTGTGCTGAACAAATGCCTATGAAGATGCAGAATTGTGTTGAAAAGTCACTACCACCTTTTGATGGCAACACTCTCAGCATCTCCATTCTCCAAATGGGGAAACTGAGGCCCAGAGTGGCTAAGTGACTTGCCTGAGTTGACACACAGAACGCCTGGATTCAACCCCCAGGTCTGTTGGGCCACTCCTGCCTGCCTTGTTATTTTGGGAATAATGCATTCAGAGCAGGCTTTTGTATTGGTGTCAGTTTGTCCAGTTAAGAGGTTGGATGTTATTGTCTGCGGAAGGTCTAAAAGGTGGGTATACATACCCCAGCTCCATCACACAGATGTGGAAACTGAGGCTCAGGGAGGGGAATCAGGGGCCTCAGGTTGCACAGCAAGGGGAGTTCAGAATATTCCCCTCGGGCCTCAGTCTGAAGGGGCAGCAGGCTACGGGGCTGACAGGATCCTTCAGGCTGAGGCCTGGGGACTAATGGGCTCTCCCTTCCCAGCCAAGCCAGCTGTCAAGAGCATGCCTCTGTGCCATTGGGGGGCCACCACCAGGGGCAGCAAGCCCAATGGGGATGAAGCTCAGCTCATGACCACCAGAGGAGGCCTGAAGGTGCTCCTGCACTGGGCTGGCCCCGACAGCAAGGAGCCCTGGGTCACTTTCAGCGAGGCCACATTGACCGCAGAGGAGGTCTGCATTCACATTGCACAAAAAGTCGGTGAGTCCCATGGCAGGAGCGGAGGTGCTGGCAACAGCTGAACCCTATCCATCCATTTGTTTGTTCATTCAACATACACTGAGTGAGCCCTACTGTGTGCCGGCCCCAATGACTGCCTTTGTAGCACTGATAATCTAATGGGGAAATCAGCAAGAAATATAATAAGTAAGAAAACTGTGTAAGAGGGCAGAAATAAGTGATGGTGAACATTTTAAAACTTTAGGAGACAATTCAGGGAGTCACAGGGATATCTGGGGAAGATGGGTGCTAGGCAGAGGGAACAGCAAGTGCAAAGGTCCTGAGGTGGGAATTTGTCAGCATCAGCTCAAGCTGAGTGAGAGGAGATGGGAGTAGCTGAGGGTGAGGGTGTGGGGCCTTGTGGGCCTCAGGGAGGACTTTGGATTTTACTCCAAGTGAGGTGGGACTGTGAGCAAAGAAGGGACGTGACTGGACTCAGGTGTTCACGGGTGCTCTCTTGCTGCTGTGTGGGGGACAGACTGTGGTGGGTGGGGTGGGAGCAGGGAAGCCTAGACAGAGGTGATCTCCAGGTGGGAGGTGACGAGAGAGAGGTCAGTCAGGGCCGGGCCTCACAGTGCCTTAAGCTCCAGAGGGAGGGACTGAGAGTTTAGACTTTTTCTTGAGAGCAGAAGGAGCCAGGGAAAGTCTGAAAGAGCCTGTAGTAGGTGTGCTCAAGAGTGTAATTTCTTCTGCCAGAGGAGGAGGAACTCTCTCTAAGGGGACTTTGCTTACTTGCCCCTCCTCCAGGAAGTCCTCTCACTCCCTCCCCCATGACTAGGTGGAGGCCTTCTGGCGGATTCTTACAATATCCTGTACTTTTCAATCCATGGCTGGATCTTAAAAGAACTCAGACAGATGTGCTGGGCGATGTGAAATGTGTCCGTCGGAGGGAATGATTGCATGTGCAGATGGCCCAGGGGGCCTGATCTGTTTGAGGAAGCAAACGACCTTAAGAATGACTAGAGTGTCAGTTTCAAGAATTTGGAAGGGGGAGAAGGAATTGAAACCAGGGCATAACTGTAATGGTCTAGGTCATGGTTATTCTGAGATGAGGGGTTAGGCCTTCTCACGGGGACAATAGGGAGCCATGGAAGGTTTAAGCCAGGGGATGTAATAGTCAGATTGGCTCTTTAGGAAGTTGTCTCACAGGGAGGCATTCTCCTTCTGAGGGAGGCAATACACTTCGATGTAGTGACATAGAATGATTTTGGCGTTGTACACATTTTAACAGGGTTGAAATGTGTATTCTCTGAGGCCACACAGCTCCACTCCTAGATATGCACCATGTAGACACTCAGCTTATGTTCCAGGAGACGCATATGACAGTGTGCAGAGCTCCCTCACTTATCTTAAAGTCCCTCTGCAGGGGAACGTACAAGGAAATAGCCATGTGGTTGAACACTGGAATACTATACAGCCACGAAAAGGGAATTTAACCAGCGTGGCATGAAAAAGCAGATTGCAGGAGGGTACCTATGGTATAATACCACATTTTGAGTTTATAATATTTGAGACTAGATCACAGTGGATATGAACATGATAAACTCTATTTCAGGAGTATGGTCACCTCTGTGGGAGGAGAAAGGAGGCAGGTGTAGGTGGGGGCTTCAGTCGTACTCTCCATTTTCTTTCATTATTCAGTAGGTGGTACTGATTATAAATTCATCTTAAAGGGCTATTTTAGATAAAAATTTTAAGTGACGTGTATTTTTAAAATGCCTTGGGAGGCCATTGTGGGGAATGATAGCAAGTCCAGAGGCTGGACTAGGCCTGGGCTTTGGATTTGAAGAAAGGGGGTGGATCCTGGAGAGATGGAGGATGCAGAAAGAGCAGGACTTGTACCCGTCTGAGGTGGAAAGGGTGGGAGGAGTTGAGGCCAAGGACAAAGTCCTGGCTTAGAGAACTGTGCAGAGGAGGGGCAGGTGTGGGAACTAAAAGATGTGTTTGGAACAAGGCACATCTAAGGGGGCCTGTGACATCTGTGGGGAGATAACCCGGAGGTGGTTGGGTGTATCTTTCTGGCTAGAGTTCAGAGAGAGAGGGATCAGTGATAGGTTTTGCCCACCCAATTTTTTTTTTTTCCTGAGTTAAGATACTAAAGTTTACCTAAAATCCAATGCTGGTCAGCTCTGGCGGGTGTGGCACAGGGGACTGAATGTCAGTCTTTGAGCTGAAGGGTCACCAGTTTGATTCCTGGTCAGGGCACGTGCCTGGGTTGTAGGCCAGGTCCCCTGTTGGGGGCATGGGGAGGCAACCAATTGATGTTTCTCTTTGCACATCAATGTTTCTCTCCATTTCCTTCTCCCTCCCTTCCCCTTTCTGTCTGGAAAAAAGAAATAGCTGCATATAAGTAGACCTGCACAATTGAAACCATGGTAAAAGCATGATCAACATATTGCATTGTGCTCTTTCAGGAAGGGAAGAGGCCCAGGGAAGCCTCGTAAGGGAGACAGGTGGTCTGGGGGCCCACAGGGGGATGGCAGCAGGCGCTGCTGACTCCTGACATTGTTTCTCCCCTGTTCCAGGCATCACTCCACCCTGCTTCAATCTCTTTGCCCTCTTTGATGCCCGGGCCCAGGTCTGGCTGCCCCCAAACCACATTCTAGAGGTCTCCAGAGACACAAATTTGACATTGCACTTCCGCATGAGGTGAGTGAAGACCTGTGGGAAGGCTTATCCTTGTTTGTGGTCTTCTCTCCTCTGACCCCAGCTTCCTGGAGCTGTCTGAATCTGCGCTCAGCCCCAGCATGTCTGCTTCCTTCCTGTAGGTTTTATTTCCGGAACTGGCATGGCACGAATCCTCAGGAGCCAGCCGTGTACCGCTGTGGGCCCCCAGGGGCCGAGACTTCATCAGAACAGGCAGAACAGGGGTTGCCACTCCTGGACTCAGCCTCCTTTGAGTACCTCTTTGAGCAGGTGTGAGCAGGGCAAGGAGGTGGGATTATTTCAGCGGGACTTAGGAGCAGTTGAGGAGCCCCCTCTTCTTTCTCCAGTTATAGCTCATAGGTTCCAACTCATTTCATCTGGGATCCTTTTTCTACTGGAACCAAAGGGTTCTGAGATTCTTAGGATTACACTGTAAAGAGTGCTGTGATCAATTAGTGATGTCTGCCACAGGCATAGGGTTGGGCAGGGGAGACATGCATGCTGTGTATTTGGAATTCCCAGAAAATGGGGAGTGTCTCCCCTCCCCAAAGTGGCCAGAAGCTGGGGAGTGAACAGGATCTCAGGCCTCCCTCTCATCCTGGTTTTCCCATGCCCAGGGTAAGCATGAGTTTGTGAACGATGTGGCATCCCTGTGGGAGCTGTCGAGTGAGGAGGAGCTCCACCACTTTAAGAATGAGAGCCTAGGCATGGCCTTTCTACACCTCTGCCACCTCTCTCTCTGCCGTGGTATTTCCCTGGAGAAGGTGGCCAAGAAGATCAGGTACCTGGGAATGGGGCAGAGACATTCTAGGTGGGTGCAAATACCCAAGCATCTGGAGGCCAAGGCAGACCTTACATACTGCCATGCCTTCATTTGTTCAGCAAATATTTATCGAGCACCTACTGTATGCTGGCACTAGTTCTGGTTGTTGAGGACACAACAGTGAACAAGTTAGAAAAAAATCCCTGCCCTCTTGTTATTCATAGCTGGTGAAGAGGATAAGCAACAACAACAACAACAACAAAACAAAAGTAAAATGTATAATCTGGATGGTGATAAAGGGCAATGGGGGAAAATTAAGCAGGAAAAGAAAAAGAAGGGGAATGTCAGGGAGTGAGGGGCGTATAATTTTAAATTGGGTGGTTGTGGAATTCCTCACTGAGCAGGTGATGCTCACATTCAGAGATCTGAAGGAAGTGAAGGAGGGAGCCGCGTGGGTGTCTGGGAGAAGATAGAGTAGAGGGTAGGTGACGGGGAGGTGGGGGGAGGGGTCAGAGCTTTGAAGAAGAGCCGAGGAGCCTCCAGAGTCGTGCCTTTTATTGCTGATCATAATGTTAATAATAAATACAATAGTGACTTCGGTCATAATAACAGCTGTCATCAGCCCTACAGGTGGGCAGTGTTTGCACCCATTTTTTAGATGAGCAAACAAGCCCTTTAGAGCTTAAGGAAGTTGCCCAAGAGCTGGGATTTCAGGCCCATAGTCCCCCTCTGAGATCTGCGTCCCCGACCCCGACACCATCCAGCCTTCCTGTGCTGGCCCTTTATTATATTCTCTTTCTACCTCATGACAGCCTGCCAATTCTCTGGACGAGGCAGCTGAAGTTCAGAGAAGTTAAGTCATTTGTCCCATCTCGCTCAGCCAGGCCTGCAAGCCAGGCCCCTAACCAGCCCCTCCTGCTCATCCGCACAGCTTCAAGGACTGTATCCCGCGCTCCTTCCGGGAGGAGATCCAACGGTACAACACGTTCACACAGCTACGCCTGCGGATCATCTTCCGCAGGTTCCTGCAGGCCTTCCAGCCAGGCCACCTTTCCCAGCAGGTCATCATGGTCAAGTACCTGGCCACACTCGAGCGGCTGGCACCCCGCTTTGGCACAGAGCGTGTGGCTGTGTGCCACCTAGAGCTGGTACCTCAGGCCGCAGGGGAGCGCTGCTACATCTGGGACAGTGGGCAGGCCCCTGCAGACCCTGAGCCCGAGTCTGCGGTTGAATCCCCTACCCATGAGGTGCTGGTGACTGGCACTGGTGGCATCCAGTGGCGGCCAGTACAGACAGAGGTGAGCAGGGCGCCTCTCTCATTTGGGGGTCCAGGTGGAGTCAGGCAGGAGCTCCTCTTCAACCTTGACCTTGGTCTCGGAGTGGGGCTATGGTGAACCCTTTCCCCACATGGGTCTCTTTCTTAAGGAGTGTCCTCCTTCCCCTAGGGGCCTGATTCCTGGGGTCTGACCTCTGGGTAGCCCTTTGGACTCGGGGGATGAGAGGACTAGGATTCTCTTTGACCTCCCTAAGGTTCCAGCTTCTGGCATGTGTGGGGGTGGGACTCTTGGGGGTGGGTCCTCTGTCCCACCTGTGATACCGTGACTCAAGGAGGGAGATTCTTGAGATTTCTTGGTCACTCCAGCCCATCCCCATGGGGAATGTGCAGGGGGCTAAACAGGCATAGCCCTGCTTGGGTCAGCTTCCGCTTGTACTGTGTTTTCAGGGCCCACGAAGCAGCAGGAGTCCTCGTGCTGACTTATCTGGGAAGAAAGCCAAGGCCCAAGGGTTGGGTGACGAGCCCAAGGACAGGCCACAGGAGGTGCCATGGGCCTACTTCTGTGACTTCCAGGACATCACCCACGTGGTGCTAAGAGAACGCCATGCCAGCATCCACTGCCAGGACAAGTGCCTGGTGGGGCCCGAGGCTGGGGCTGGGCTGAGGGCCAGCTGGGGGGCACCTCCAGGCTACGATGCCTGCTTGACATTCCCATGGCCTTTAGGAGCTGACCCTGCCTTCCCGGGCCATCGCTCTGTCCTTGGTGTCACTGGTGGATGGCTACTTCCGCCTGACAGCTGACTCCAACCACTACCTGTGCCACGAGGTGGCTCCTCCACGGCTGGTGATGAGTATCCGGGACGGCATCCACGGACCCCTGCTGTGAGTGCCCAGAGGGAGGCTGTGCAGCACGGGCCATGGGGGTAGCCACTGCCCGCTGGACCCTGAGCTCTGGGGACCGCGGGGCTCAGACAAGGCGTGTGCATATATTTGTGTGCATTCGTGTCTCATTGTGTGCCTGTGTGCATCCGGGTGTGCGTGCATTTGTGTGAGTGCATGTGAGCACACACATGCACGCATTTGTGTCTGGTGTGTACCTGCGATGTGAGCCCTCCGTTCATACCCACGTGTGCTTGTGTGAGTGCCTGTGTCCATGCATGTGTGTCTGTCCCTGTGTGCTTGTCCATGTGTGCGCACACGCGAGTGTGGCACCAGGGCGTCTAGAGGGAGAGAGGGCGCCTGCAGTGGGATGGGCGGCGTGTCGCGATGGGAGTGCCTGTCTGGTGTGTAACAGCCACCTGGTATGCAGCATTTTGCCACTGCTTCGGTGACTGCATGTGAAATCGTCACCATGCGTTCACGCGAGGTGGGACGGGTGCTCTCTGTGGGGCTGTGTTGTGCAAACATCGGCAGCCATCTGGAAATATGTGCAGGTGTTTACGTCCCTGCAGGCGTGTTGCCCTGGTGTTTGTGGATCACTGCGTGATTCCCTCTCTCCCAGGGGGGAGAGAGTGTGAAGTGTTGAGTGCTCGTGTGACAATCAGATGCCTGTGTGGCCGCCCTGCTTGCTGCCAGGCCACTGTTTGCGACTGTCAGCTTACCTGGTCTTTGGCCCCGTGTCTGCGTGTCCTTTGTTCTGTCTGTAACACTGGAAGTTGCCCCTGGGGTGTTTGAAGAGGTCTGACCCCGGGAGCCTCGTCTTTACACCAGAGGAGGGTGAAGTGGGCGTTTTCTCTCGTGAGGACTTTGGCTGTGCCCTGTCACAGCCAGGAGTGTGCCACTCACACGGATCTGTAGGCCATGGCACTGGGTGTCTTAGTCTGTTCCGGCTGCTGTAACAGAATACCAAGGACTAGGTGGCTTAGAAACAACAGACATTTATTTCTAACGGTTTTGAAGGCCAGAAGTCAAAGTTCAAGGTACCAGCAAATCCGATGTTTGGTGAAAGGCAGCTGTCTTCCTGCTGTGTCCTCAAATGGCACGGGAGCTCTTTGGGGTCCATTTTTTTTAATTCAAAATTTTTTAATTGACTGATTTTAGAGAGAGGGGAAGGGTGGCGGGGAGAGAGAGCCACTGATTCGTTGTTCCACTTATCGATGCATTTACTGGTTGCTTCCTGTATGTCCCCTGACCAGGCATCAAACCTGCAGCCTGGTGTGTAGGGATGGTGCTCTAATGGAGTGAGCTGCCTGGCCGCGCCGGGCTCCGCTTCCTAAGGCACGATCTCACTTGTGGGGGCTCCACCACCATGACTGAACTGCCCGCCAAAGGCCCCCTCCTAATACTGCCATGCTGGGGGCCAGGGCTCCCACGTGTGGATTTTAGGGGGCACAGGCAGCCAGTCTGTAGCATGTGGGCACCTGGGACTGCAGTGCTGTGTCCCTGCGTGGTGCCTGCTGTGCTGTGGTCATCTCTGGCCCTGGGACGTCAGTGCCTCTGCACTGCCTTGTCACACTGAGTAAGCAGCTGAGTGACAGACTGTTGTGGGTGTGTCGCCCTGTGAATGTCAGTGGCTGGGTGTGTGCCCTTCAACATTTGACAGCTGTTTTCTACCTCTGTGTGTGTGTCGCTGGGTCAGTGATGGTGTCTGACAGTCATTGCACACAAGTGTGTGCCTGTTCCTGTGCCCGTCCTTGCGTGAGTTGTCATGTGTGACATTGATAGAGCTGTGCGTGTGAGTCCCAGACTCAGTGTCACTACATAAGCAGATGGGTCTGACCTTTGTCCCAGATGGAAGGGTGACTCCCTGGGCAGGTGTTGGTGTTCTTGTTGCCAGGTGGGGGTCCAGCTGTGCCCTCTGACACTGCCCCCTTGCCCCCCACAGGGAGCCGTATGTGCTCGCCAAGCTGCAGCCAGAGGGTGGCCTTTATCTCATCCACTGGAGCACCAGCCACTTCGACCGCCTCATCCTCACAGTTTTCCAGCAGGACCAGGTGGGTTTGGGGCAGGGGCACTGGGCTGGGGTTGGGTACGCTCCCTGCCTAGACCCCTGCTCACCGCCGTCACCCTGCCACCCGACCCAGGTCTCTGGCACTGAGTGTTTGCGCCTGCGCAAGTTCCCCATTGAGCTGTCTGCAGGGGCCTTCAGCCTGGAGAGCTGGGACCGGTCCTTCCCCAGTGTGCGGGAGCTGCGGGCTGCGCTGCAGGGCTGCTCTCTGCGGGCCGGTGACAGCTGCTTCTCCCTGCGCCACTGCTGCCTGCCAAGGCCAGGAGGTACCATGACAGGGCCACAGGGTGGGGTGGCAGCACCCCACATGCCAGCCCTCAGTGACTTTGCTCCCACTCACAGAGATCTCCAACCTCATCGTTATGCGGGGGCCTCGGGCCAGCACCAGGTCTCTCAACCTCAGCCAGCTCAGCTTCCACCGAATCTGCCAGGATGACATCACCCAGGTATGTGTGGGCTCGGGGCTCCTTGCGGCACAGGGGCTTGGGGTGGGGGGCTGTCACCAGCTGTTGTCATGGAGATGTTCCCTGCCCTGTTCCCCCAGCTGTCCCACTTGGGCCAGGGCACAAGGACCAATGTGTATGAAGGCCTCTTGCGAGTCGGGGGCGGAGGCCCTGAGGAGGACAAGGCAGATGGTGGGGACCCCACCTCACTTGGTGAGGACCGTGGGCAGAAGCTACGAGTGGTGCTGAAGGTGCTGGACCCCAGTCACCATGACATTGCACTGGTGAGTGAACACCACGAGGGGGCCAGGGGCGGGGAAGTGTATGTGGCCACCTGACCTGACCTGACTTGTCCTCACAGGCCTTCTATGAGACGGCCAGCCTCATGAGCCAGGTGTCCCATGTGCACCTGACCTTCCTCCACGGTATCTGCGTGCACAGTTCCAAAAGTGAGTAAACCCCAGCACACACTCCCCACCATTTACAGGCTGACCCCGCCACCGGTACCCACTCCCTGGGCTGTGCCCTAGCCTTTTACCTGCATCCTGACCCCTGGCTACACACTGGCCCTTGCCCAGCATCCTGACCCCTGACTGCACCCCAGTCTGACTCCTTAGCTCCCACCCATACCCCAGCCCTTGACGATGTGCCAGCCTGTTGCAGCTCAGGCCCTGACTACACCTGGACCATTACCTGCACCCCAACCCTCACTACAGCCTGACTCCTGACTGCATTCCACTCCTTTTCCACCACTTACATCCCTGGACTGCCAGCCCCCATCTTCCCCCTGACCCCATCAGGATTGTGACCCTGTGCACACCCCACCCTGTTGGGCACCCCAGTCCTCCCAGACCTCAGCCCCTGCCCCACCCCTACCTCTACCCCTACTGTGCGTAGAACTCAAAACTCCTTGCACAGCGTGACCTCAGCCAGCCCTCAAAACCTGAACTCCGTGTGTCCATCTCTCCCACTTCCCTCTAATGCCAGCCCGTATCCCGACCCTGCATACCTTGCACCCCAAGCACCCAACCCTGTGGGATTAGCATCACTTATGCCCCAGTCAAGCTCCACGCCTCCATTTGTCGGTACCCACCTCCTGGTCCCCAGGCCCATCCTCACCTTTGTCACTGACACCTTTGTCACTCTGTGCCCCAGACTCACCCTGGACCCAAATAACACCATTTGCCTCTCACCCTGCACCCACCTCAGCCTGTGCTCCATCCTGCATTTCTTCTCTCCCCAAAGTCACTCCCAAGTCCCCACACAGCCAAGCCCCCCGCCCTGCCTAACAGCTTTCCCACCCGCAGCCCCAGCCCCCACTCTTCCCCTGGTGCCCTGGAGGGTGGAAGCAGGGGGGCGGCCCCTGCAGCAGCTGGCCTTTGCAGATATCATGGTGACAGAGTACGTGGAGCATGGACCCCTGGACGTGTGGCTGCGGCGGGAGAGGGGCCGTGTGCCTGTGGCCTGGAAGGTGGCAGTGGCCCAGCAGCTGGCCAGTGCCCTCAGCTACCTGGTGTGTGGCCTGTGGGAGAGGGGGGGCTGGGCCAGTGGGGTGGGCCAGGGCAGCCTCAGTACTGGGCGGGGAGGCCTTAACACATCCTTCAGTCCACACACTGGCCCCGGGAGGTCTTCCCACAAACCTCCTCTGCTCACATACCCATGGGGCTCCTTTCTCCTGAAGAGGACACCTAACTCCTCTACTTTGTGTTTGAGGCCCAATGGGGCTTGGCCTCGGCCACCTGTGTCATTCTCTTGCCATTCATCCCCAGCCCCTCCCGGTCTAGTCACCCATTTCCAGAGCACCCTCTGTGTGCCAGGCTCTGTCATAGGCCCTGGGGACATACAAAAAAAGAGACATCAGTCTGTATCCTTTGACGAGCCAGCATTTTTACTTGGAAGGGATAAACAAGAAATAATTGTGTTACACAGTATGTTAGAAAATAGTAAGAAACTTGGGAGAGAATGGGGGGCAGTTACGGAGTTGCTACAAGCTGGGGAAGAGGTACAATTTTAAAAAAATGGGCTGGGGAAGGATTCCCAGATGCACCGCAGGCAGAGGGAATAGCCAGTGCAAAGGCCCTGGGGAAGGGGTGTGTCCGGTGTGGGTTTGAGGACAGCAGTGGGGTCCTCTGGCCTTTTGTCCCAGGCCAGGAGCCTTGACCACCAGCTCTGGGAGAACAGGAGGGACTCGCTGGGCACCCAGGGGTGTTCGGTCACAATGACAGTGTACTGGGATTCCAATAATGACCATGACTGTCTTTTTCACATGGGCTGTCCCTGTGGGATGGGTGTGAACTGGGTCTGTAGGCCCCTACTGGCTACGCCCCTCTCCTTCCCACCCAGGAGGACAAGAGCCTGGCTCACGGTAACGTGTGTGGCCGGAACATCCTGCTGGCACGTGTGGGGCTGGCGGAGGGCACCAGCCCGTTCATCAAACTGAGTGACCCTGGCGTGGGCCTGGGTGCCCTTTCCAGGGAGGGTGAGGACTGACTGGGACGGGGCTGGGCATGGGGACAGGCTTACCCCGCTCTTTTCACCCTTGGTGACCCCTGGCCCTGGCCCCCAGAGCGCGTAGAGCGGATCCCCTGGATGGCCCCCGAGTGCATGTCTGGTGGGGCCAACAGCCTGAGCACCGCCGCTGACAAGTGGGGCTTTGGTGCCACTCTCCTGGAGATCTGCTTCGACGGGGAGGCCCCCCTGCAGGACCGCAGTCCCTCTGAGGTACACGGGGGTGACCCTTGGGCCCTTCCCACAAATGCGCCAGCACCTCTGAGGGGCGTAGAGGGCACATCAGAGTCCAGGGCTGCCCCCATCTGGCCTGTGGCCTTACGTGTGTTGCTCCATCTCTTTGGGGTGCCATCAGGTTATTTGTCAGTTGGAGTTAACAGTAGTCCCGACCTCAAAGGTCACTGTGGCATACAGCAAATGAGTGACTGCTTCAGTTTTAGGGACAGTGACCAGGGCAGTGATGGGGGAAGCACAGGCTGTAGGGGAGAGGGGGTTCCAGAGCATGGCCTTGACCTACCTGAGGGATCAGACAAGGCTTCCCAGAGGAAGTTTTTTGTTTGTTTTAAGGACTGGTGGGGAGAGAGAAAACAAACAAACTGTTCCACTTATTTATGCATTCATTGGCTGATTCTTGCATGTGCCCTGACCAGGGATTGAACCTGCAATCTTGGAGTGTCGGGACTACTCTCTAACCAACTGGGCTACTTGACTAGGTCCAGGAAGTTTTCATCTAAGTGCAGAAATACTGCAGTGGCCCAGGCTAGGGAAGGGTAGCCTAGGCACAGCTTGCGCAAAGTCTAAGAGGCTTTGGTGCATTTGGGAAGCTGCATCTGCAGAGCTTCCTGGGAGCAGAGGTGTGAGGAAGCCAGGACAGGAAGGGCCAGACGTGAGTGCTGGACTTCGGTTCAGGGCCTGGTTCTGCAGTGGCAGGCAAGGCGGCTTCACTTTGCAGGGGCTCAGTTGTCTCATCTGTAAAATAGGGATGACAGAACGAGGCACCTGGCTGGTCTAGACCTGCCGCTCTGGGGGTTTAACTCTACCTCTTGTGTAAGGAGACTTGAGAGGCTAGATTCACTTGACTCTTTAGGTCCCCTTCCCCACAGAAAGAGTGCTTCTACCAGAAGCGGCACCAACTGCCTGAACCTGCATGCCCGGAGCTAGCCACACTCACCAGCCAGTGCCTGACCTATGAGCCAGCCCAGCGGTCCTCCTTCCGCACCATCCTTCGTGACCTCACTCACCTTCAGCTCCAAAGTGAGCCCCAAGCCAGTGCTGGGACCTTGGGGCAGGGGGAGGGGCCCGGAGCCCTGCTGACCACAGCAGAGTGCACCACCCCAGGACTGTCTGTGTACAGTGGTCCAGGGTGTGTGCCGATTCTTCTTCACTTAAGGGGGTGGGGAGAATGCCCCCAGTTCTTAATGTTGTGCTAGGGGGCAGCCACAACTTTCTGTGGATGAATTAGACCCTCACAGTTTTTTTGTTTTTGTTTTCTCTCTCGGTGAAAAGTTTGTGCCCTTACCCAGTCTCAGAATATCCCAGGTGTCAGTTCGATGCAGCCAACTGCATTTTGGACCAGAAGTGGAGTTTTCCGGCTATTGCAGAAAGTTTTCTGATCTCCGGGTTGGATGCTAGGGGAAGCACTCACCTGCTTTCTGTGCCCCAAGTGTGGGCCTGCTGGGTAAAGGGTCAGGGTCTGGCCTCACTCACTGTGGCTCTTCCAGATCTTTCTGCAGTCCTGCATGTGAACCCGACCTCACCAGCGTCAGACCCCACTATTTTCCACAAGCGCTATTTGAAAAAGATCCGAGATCTGGGTGAGGTGAGGGCCTGGAGCGGCAGCAGAGGGTCGGGCTGTTAGAAAGAGACCTGTGTGGAAGGCAGGGCCCAGGGAGACGGGGGTGGGGCTAACCATCCTGTGTCTTGGTCAGGGTCACTTCGGCAAGGTCAGCCTGTACTGCTATGACCCAACCAATGAAGGCACTGGCGAGATGGTGGCCGTGAAGGCTCTCAAGGCGGACTGCAGCCCTCAGCTCCACACTGGCTGGAGGCGGGAGATCGACATCCTGCGTACACTCTACCATGAGCACATTGTCAAGTACAAGGGCTGCTGTGAAGACCAAGGTGGGTGGGACTGGGCAGGTCCATCAGGGCCTGGCCAGTTAGAGCCTCTCAGTCTTTGGCTGGAAGACACAGTCTGTAGATGTAGGGGGCCTGCCTCCTTCCCACCTTCCCTCCCTGCCAGATCTGCTGGGGCCAGGAAGGGTGGGCGCTGCTAACAGCTCCCTCACTTGATTGGGGATGGGGTTCAGGATGGATCTATTCCACCTGAGGATTAGGCCTAGTGTGGGATAGCGCTTTCCTCCCCACCTTGGGGTGGGGGAACTGCAGGGCTCAGGATGGGAGCTCCCCAGCCCCTGCCTCTATCACCCTTAGGCGAGAAAGCGGTGCACCTTGTCATGGAGTACATGCCCCTGGGCAGCCTCCGAGACTACCTGCCCCGGCACAGCATAGGGCTGGCCCAGCTGCTGCTGTTCGCGCAGCAAATCTGCAAGGTAGGCCAGTCCAACGCTGCTCGAAGAACTGCCCCTTCCACTTTGGCCTCGACCCATCCCTTTGCTTGCTAGCCTGCCCCCACGCTTGCTGTCCCTTATACCAGCCTCTTCAGCCCATCACCTGGCCACACGCCTGCTGGCAGGTTCCCAACCCACCTAGTTTGCACTTTTGACACTCTCGCTGCTCACCTGGCTAAACCCAGAAGCCCAGTCCCTCCCAGCTTGCCCATCCCCCTGGCCAGGGTCTCCGCTGCGGCCCAGCTCCGTTCTGTTGGGTTCCACTTGCCATCCTGCCCGCCTTTGCTCCAGGTCCTGCAGGCCTGTTCTCACTCGCCACACTGGCCATAGCTCCTCAGGCCCTGCCTCGCCCCACTGGTCTTGACTTGCCCCGCCCCACCCCCAGGGCATGGCCTACCTGCACACGCAGCACTATGTCCACCGAGACCTGGCTGCCCGCAACGTGCTGCTGGACAACGACAGCCTGGTCAAGATCGGGGACTTTGGTCTCACCAAGGCTGTGCCTGAAGGCCACGAGTACTACCGCGTGCGCGAGGATGGGGACAGCCCCGTGTTCTGGTGACCAGGAGGGACCCAGCCAGAGGGGGTGCCAGGGTCTTCTGGGGCAGACAGGGTGGAGGTAGATGCTGGGGTTTCAGATGACAGGGCCCGGTCTCAGTGAAACTGCTCCCCATTAAGGATGGGGCCCTGACTGGGGCTGGGGGCTCCCACACCCCGGAGAAGGACTCCATCCTGGTCTGATCCGAAACATGACTGCCGTCTCCCCACAGGTATGCCCCCGAGTGCCTGAAGGAGTGTAAGTTCTACTATGCATCTGATGTCTGGTCCTTTGGAGTCACCCTGTATGAACTGCTGACCTACTGTGACTCCAGCCAAAGCCCGCCCTCGGTGAGAGCCGGGCCCGCACCCCCACTCCATACTAGAGGAGTTAGGAAGGCACACATTCAGTTCCCAACTTCTTCAGGACAGCAAGTGCTTAATCCATGTGAGCCTCACAGTCCCAATCTGTAAAATGGGCCACTTCCAATGCCAGGGGCTTTGGTTGTGACAAAAACTCCACTCAGAAGCAGCTTTTTCTATTCTGCAAATTCAAGGGAAGAGTTGGGGTGCAGCTTGATGTAGATTCTCATGTCATCATGAACCTCGTTTTCTCCATCCCTCAGCTCCACTGTTCTCTGTGCTAGCAACAGTCTGCCTCACCCCAGCTCCAGCTGAGGGGGTGGGGGAAGGGCCCTCTTTCCAATTTAATTCTCAGGACTACCTGATTGGCCCAACTTGGCTGATGTGTCCTCCAGAAAGCCAATCACTGTGTATCCATTGGCCACAATTATTGGCCAGGCCTGGTTTGGGGGGGGGCTAAGAGAATGTTAGGTTTTTATTTCCAAAGTCATTCAGGGTACCTTTATGGGAGAGGGGGAAAAAGACAGATCCTGGCAGACAAAAGCAGCTTGCTGGGGGGCTTGGTAACAGCAGCAAACACCCGATTCAGACTTACTGCATGAATATGAGTTTATCTAACTTCCCCAGTCACCCTAGGTAGTTGATGCTTTTACCCCATTTCACAGATGGGAAAATGAAACCTAAAGTAGGGAGATCCTAAGTCCAAAGCTGAGAAGTGGTCATGGCAGGACTAGAACCCCTGTGGTCCTGCTCCAAACTCGACCTCTCCCTAGGCAGCCCTGCCTGTAGAAGACTTACCTGGTTTCTTCTGTAGAAATTCATCGAGCTCATAGGCCCCACCCAGGGGCAGATGACAGTACTGAGGCTCACTGAGCTGCTGGAACGAGGGGAGAGGCTGCCACGGCCAGAGAAATGTCCCTATGAGGTGAGACTCCCCACCTTTTCCACTGTCCCAGCTGTCGGGCTGTGGACAGAGCACCGACCACAGCCCCATTTTTCCTTCCCCAGATCTATCTGCTCATGAAGAACTGCTGGGAGGCAGAGGCCTCATTTCGCCCAACCTTCCAGAACCTCGTACCCATCCTGAAAACGGCCCATGAGAAATACCAGGGCCAGGCCCCCTCAGTGTTCAGTGTCTGCTGAACCCTGCCAGTGGCTCTGCTCCCGGGAATCGGAGCAGGTAGTACTCACGGAGAGGGCCTCCCACTTCCACCCCAGGAGGAAGTTGGCTTCACCTACTCCCTGTGCCTTACTGCCTGAGACCCCAAGTCTGTGACCTGACTTTCCTTGCCTTTGTCCATGTGGCCTGCAGTAACAGAACACCACAGACTGGGGGGCTTGGAAACAACAGAACTGCAACTCACAATTCTGGAGCTGGGAGTCCAAGTTCAAGATGCCAGCCTGGTTACATTTGGGTGAAGGCCCTCTTCCTGCTTCATAGCCTGCACCTTCTTGTGGGGGTGATTTTCTTCGCAAGTGTGCCACGGATGACAGTAAACATGACTGAGATATGATGTGATCTGCTTGGGGAGGAGAGGTGGCCAGTTTCCCAGAGGAAAAAGGCCTTGAGCAGTGGCCAGTTTCTCCGGGGAAAAAGGAGTTGATCCCCTTCCTCCAAGGGCTTTTATTGGGTTGTAATACACAGGAATACAGAGCGGCAAGGATCAAACAGCAGATAACATTTTGAAGAAATCTGAGGGCTTAGTCTGAGTCAGAGTTTGTCAGGAACAGAGTTTTAGGGTTTCCTGCTCAAACCCTTTTGATATGAATGAAAACACTCTTAGCAGAGCAGATTTCACTGGTTTATCAGGAAGTCTTTGTGATGCCAGATTTTTCCCCAGGACACGCTCTAGCAAGACAAGGAGCTGCACCCCTCCCCATCAGGTATTCAGGCTTAAGGGGACTAGAGTCAGGAAGCACTTCTCCCAGAGAACATGGGGACTCAGGCTATTTCAAAGCCAGGGGGTGAGAGTCCATTGCTCTTTGTTGCAGCCCCCCAAGTCCTTCCATGAAGGCCTCCCAAGTGATTGTGTCTGGCCTAGGTTGCCCCTCCTCTGAGGGGTCTTACCTGTCAAGGACTTCCGACCATGCTTTGGGGGCAGGGAGGAAACTGAGGCAGCATTTGCTACCAGAGACAGGCTTTGTCTCCTGTGGCTCACATTCCAAAGGTCACTGACTCATCCTTAGCCACAGGGGGCAGAGTTACAATTCCTGAAACCAGGCAGAGTGGTCCACAACACCTTCTCACTGTGTCCTCACAAGGTGGAAGGGAGCCAGGGATCTTTCTGGAGCCTCTTTTATAAGGGTAGTAATCCTGTTCATGAGAGGCCTACACACCTCCCGAAGACCCACCTCCTAATACCATCACATGGGGCGTCTGAATTTCAACATCTGAATCTCGAGGGGACACAGACATTCAAACCATAGCATCGTCAGCAGTCATGAGCCTGACCCAGGCTCTGGAGGGCTAGTAATAAACGCCCACTTCCTGTGCGGAGGCTCTGGCCTTTGGGTCCTTCTTCAGCAAGCATCTGCGCTTCTGGGCACGACAGCTACAGCAAGATACTACAGAAGAAGCCAGATTCAACTATTCACCCTTTGCTTCCCCTCTAAGTCACTAGCTAGCCAGAAACACAGAAGGCACTCAATAACTACTTGTTAAATATACCAACAAAGGATTTGGGGAGCCACATACCATGTTGATAAGACGGCCAGTTTCACCTGTTCCTCCCTGTGAGACCTCAGGCAAGTGACCTTCCCTCTCTGGGCCTCGGTTCTCAACTGCTTGCTACCTTGGAGGACTAATTAAATAGCTTTGAGTTTGTGTGTTTCAATGCTTAGCTGAGAGATATGCAAACAATTGCCTAATAAACATTTGCTATTGTTAGCCTGGGGTTTGCCAAAGCATTTCTGCCTCATAGGTGCATTTGGCACCTATGTGCCATCCACATTGTGGAAAACAGTTAAATAATTGGCTTTCCCATAGGACTTCTCAAAACCTTATGCACTGAAGCTGTCCTGAACAGTTTCACACGATTCCAATAGCATTTGCATTTTATAACAGTTTTCAAAGTTATTCATTTTAATTCTTATTTTTTTGAGGTCTCCCTCCTATCCATCAGCCACCACTGTCATCCCTGGAGGCAACTAATGACATCTGATTTCCTGTTTTTGCTTCCAAAGATATTTTTTTATCTAGATACAAGGAAATCTGTACACATATGCTCTCCTGTCTTTTGCAAGAATAGTCACATGTGCAACTATGCACAGCTCGAGTCTGTACCGTTGTTCTTCCTTTCCCTCCATAATGGGTCTTTGGGATGGCCCCGTATACCCAGGCACACGGTAGTTCCTGGTTCTGTTTGCAGTGGCGTTGCAGCCCCTGCTGGGGTTCGTGTAGTTATTTCTAATCCTTTGCTTGTCCATGACAGCTCTGCGGGGAGGAACCACATGTGTGCCTGGCTTCGCCCATATTCAGGGGTGTCTGGGGACAGCCAGAGGGACAGCTGCTTGCAGGATATAGCCTGCTCATTGGAAAAGACATTGCCACCAGAATACATTTTGCTATTTGATAGGGTATATCTCTCTTTTTTTAAAAAACTTATCTTGGCCTATTTTTGTGCCGCTACTTTTTAAAAAATTCTTACCTGAGGAAATATTTATTGATTTTGGAGAGAGAGAGAAACAGCAGTGTGAGAGAGAAACATTGATCAGTTATCGCCCACATGCACCCCAACAGGAGACTGAACCCGAAGCCTAGGCATGTGCCCTGATGGGGATCGAACCCGCAAGTTTCTGGTGTACGGGAGGATGCTCTGATCAACTGAGCCACCCGGCCAGGGCATTGTGCAGTCACTTTTTCTTTCTTTTTTTTTTTTTTTTAAGATTTTATTTATTCATTTTTAGAGGGGAAGGGAAGGAGAGAGGGAGAGAAATATCAAGGTGTGGTTGCCTCTCGTGCATCCCCTGCTGGGAACTGGCCTGCAACCCAGGCATGTGCCCTGACTGGGAATCGAACCGTATTGTTTGGTCTGCAGGCCTGCGCTCGATCCACTGAGCTAAACCAGCCAGGGCTCACTTTTTCATTTTTTAAAATATTTTTAAAAATTTATTTTCAGAGACGGGAAGGGAGGGAGAAAGAGAGGAAGAGAAACATCAGTTGGTTGCCTCCCACACGTCCCCAAGTGGGGACCTGGTCTACAATCCAGGCATGTGCCCTGACAGGGAATCGAATTTATGACCTTTCAGTTTGCAGGCCCATGTCCAATCCACTGAGCCACACCGGCCAGGGCTTTTTAAAAACTATTACATGACCCTGGCCGGTGTGGCTCAGTGGACTGAGCACCAGACTGTGAAGCAAAAGTTCGCCAGTTCGATTCCCAGCCAGAGCATGTGTCTGGGTTGCGAGCCAGATCCCCGGTAGGGGGTGTGCGAGAGGCAACCACACATTGATGATTCTCTCCCTCTTTCTCTCTCCCTTCCCTTTTGTCTAAAAGTAAATAAATAAAATCTTTAAATAAAAAATATGAAAAACTATTATATGGATGGAGCATATGCAAAACAAGGGAGAATAACGTAATATAAACTGCACCACCAGTCTCCAACACCCATGGCCAGTCACGTTTCAACTCTCTACCTGTCCTGACCTCTGCCACTGGGTTGTTTTGAAACAAATCCCAGATATCATTTTATCTGTAAAAACTTGCATATGTATCTCAAAAGATGTAACCACAATCACTACAATATCATTATCACACCTAAAAAGTTTAACAATAATTCCTCATTATCATTGTGTAGCCTGTGAGTGTTCAGATTTCCCCAACTGTCCCTTAATATTTGGCATTTGTTTAGTCTGTTCAAATAAAAATCCAAACAAGGTTCATACACTGTGTATGGCTGAGGACCGGTTCCTCTTCCTCTTCCTACCCCCCATCCCCCACCCCTCTGGCAACATAGTGAAGAAATGAGGTTGTTTGTCCTATAGACATTACCAGTCTGACCTCATCTTTGGGGGGTGGTTTTGTTGCATTCATCTATCCTTACCTTGATCAACGGATGATTACGTTCAGTTTCCAGTTTTTGGCAAACCTTTCACAGAGGCCCTTGTACCCTCTCAGCAGGAGGCACTCAAGATCTGCTTGCAGGAGTGGACCCAGACCCATCAGGGATGCTGTTTTTATTTTCCAGTATTACATTCTGAAAAATTGCAAATTTTATTCAACAGAAAAGTTGAAGGAGTAGTACAGTGAACACCCCTAGATCCCACAATTACCATGTTGTTACATGTATGTTATGATGCTGTATCTGATCACCTATCTGTTCCTTCCTCTGCCATCAATCTGTCTCAGGTCCTGGATACAAACCAAAACAAGTAGATGCCGTGTGTGTGTGTGTGTGTGTGTGTGTGTGTGTGTGTGAAAATACATAATATAAATTTTATCACTTTAACCATTTTTAAAAGATTTTATTTACTTTTTAGACAAGGGAAGGGAGGGCGAAAGGGAGAAAAACATCAACGTGTGGTTGTCTCTCATGCACCCCCTCCTGGGGACCTGGCCTGCAACCTAGGCATGTGCCTTGACTGGAAATCCAACCAGTGACCCTTTGGTTCCCCGGCCGGCACTCAGTCCACTGAACCACACCAGCCAGGGCTCATTTTAACCATTTCTAAGTGTATGATTCAGTGGCATTATATGCATATATACATTCACAATGTTGTTTAACCAACGCTACTATGAATTTGCAGAAGTTTTTCATCTTCCCAAACAAAACTGCCCCCATTCCACACTAACCCCTCATTTCCCTCCTCTCCCAGCCCCTGGTAAACACCATTCTACTTTCTCTATGAATTTTTCTATTTTAGGGATCTCATATAAGTGGAATATTTGTTCTTTTGTGCCTGGCTTATTTCACTTAACATAATATTTTCCAAGTTTATCCATGTTGTGGGATCTGTGAGAATTTCCTTGTAAGGTTGAGTGGTGTTCCGTTGTGTGTGTGTGTGTATATATATATATATATATATATATATATATATATATATATATCACGCTTCATCTGGGCATCTGCTGATGAAATCTGGGCTGTTTTCACCTTGACTATTGTGAATGCTGCTATGCACACTGGTGTGCAAGTATCTGTTTGAGTCTCTGCTTTCAATTCTTTTAGTAGAGGAATTTCTGGATCATTCTGTAAAACTTGGAGAAACGCAGTTTTATATTCCTACCAGCAAAGCAGGAGGGCTTCAGTTTCTCCACCTCTGTCAACACTTTGCTACTTTCTGGGGTTTTTGCCTTTGTTGTTGTTTTTTAATGATGGCCATCCTAATTGTTAAGTGCTATGTCACTGTGGCTTTGATTTGCATTTCCATAATAACTAATGATGTTGAGCATCTTTTCATGTACTTATTGGTTATTTGAACAGCTTCTTTGGAGAAATGTATATTTAAATCCTTTGCCCATTTTAAAAATTGATTTTAGAGCCCCAGCTGATGTGGCACAGTGGATTGAGCACTGGCCTGAGAACCAAAGGATCGTGGGCTCAATTCCCAGTCGGGGCACATGCCTGGGTTGTAGGCCAGGTCCCCCTGTGTGGGGCATATGAGAGACAACCATTGATTTTTCTCTCCCTTTCTTTCTCCCTTCTACTCTGTCTAAAAATAAATAAATAAAATTGATTTTAGAGAGAAGGAAGGAAGAGAGAGAGATTGATTTGTTCTTCTTACTTATGCATTCATTGATTCTTATATGTGTCCTGATCAGAGATCGAACCCACAACCTTGGTGTACTGTAACAATGTTCTAACCAACTGAGCTATCCAGCCAGGACTACTTTGCCCATTTTTGAACTGGGCTTTAGCTGTTGTTGTTGAATTGTAAGAATTCTTTATAATCTGGTTATAATCTCTTATCAAATATATTATTTACAAATGCTTCGAGTTAGTTGTTCTTTCTCAGCACCGAGTTGGAAATGGATGGGGGAGTAGGGCAGCAGAGGAGACCCTTGATTGGAGGGGGAAGTGCCCCATGTGAGAGAGGGATGGCTATGGCCTCAGGGATGGTGAGACTGAATGGCTGCTGGGTGCCATCAAAGCCCTCAACAGGGTCCCTCACTGAGGTCAGACCAGAGGAACAAGAGGTGGACTGGAGGCCTGAGAGATAGAGCAGATAGAGGTGGGAATGGCCACCTGAGCCCCAGTCCCATCTCTTGGGAAGAAGAGATCAGCTGCCTGGAGGGGAAGGCAAAGGAGGAACACGGATAGGGGGAAGGGCAAGTTACAAGTAGCATCCTTGACGGATGGTGGCTCAGGATTCAGCTGTCTCCTTAACACCCCACCTCAACACTGTGCATAGGGAATATGGGGATTTCATAAGACCTTCAAAAGTGGAAGGACCCCCCCTGCAAAAAACCTTCAGAAATAAAGAGCCGGACCCAAGAGCCCCCAAAATGTGGGCTCTGTCCATTTTCATGGCTGTACTCATCTTAGAGGATCCTTCTTTAACACCTCCAAATCTCTTAGTTGCTCCCCAAGGATGCTGCTATCTCACTCAGCCCTTGCGGCCCTGACCAGAAGCTCCCCATTGTTCCCTCCAAATGTTGCCTTGAAATCCCACCTGATCACTTCCAGGAACAGAATGCCTTCTCCTCTGTTACTGACCTGAAGGGGTTCGGTCGCCTGTGCGCATCAAAGCCCAGTCAAAAGCAAACAGGAGTTTACAGCCAAGAAAGTAAAGGTTTATTAATTGGGGAAATGGTGCCACCCCTGGAGTCACAGGTGAGCTTGTGCTCAAACACCTGGCTCCCTGGTGGCTTCTTGGGGATGGGTGACATAGAGGACTAAGGGAGTTAGGGTCATGGTCTCTACTGATTTGTCAGTGCTAGGGTAAGGGGTGGTCAATCATTGCATCTGGTCTTTATGTCATCCATGGTGCTGTTCTGTCTGGTATTGCAAGGATTTGGGCAGTGTGATGCTCCACTGTCCTGCATGCGGAGCTGAGGCATGACTGAAGCCTAGATGTTATCTTCCTCTGTGGTCAACAGACCTGGGGCTTTGTTCCTCAGATTATCTGGTGCTGACCTGAACCTCACTGTCCTGGTAGTAATTAAGGGAGTGGATCTACAACGGAGAATGAGGTGGGAGAGTCAGGGTGCAGGATGAGACCAGTTTTTTCTTCTTCATTTATTGAGGCCGGTTTAAATCACAAGGAAAGAAAGGAAGAAAGATCATAGCAAAGAAATAAAGTTTGTGCAATTCTACCCTTAACTAGGTTCGGCAGGAAACAGGTGTCTCACTCTCTCCCCCTCCTTAGGCCTCTAAGGACTGAGGACAAAATGATGGGGGAAGTCGGTTTTTTTTTTCCCTTGAATTCCAAATCCCTTGCCTACACATTTTCCTCCTTATAAAGAGCTGGCTTGAAAGGAAATGTAAGTGGGTCTGTTAGGGTACATAACCTGCCACCTTCTCTGATTGCCCGCCATCTGCTTAAAGTGCCCATAAGATTCAATCCCTGTCCCTGCTTATTGGTTCTGGTGGCAACAAGCAGCATAAACAATGGCTTTTCCGGTTTCAAAAGGAAGACGATTTTGTTAGCATTTCCTGTGAGTTCACTTAGGAGCCAAGAGTGCAATTCTGCCCCGGCCGCCACCCTGTCAGAGACTCACCGGTACCCACCACCTCGCTGGGCCCCGCTTGGGCTCCCCACTCTGGACTTTCGGCACTACAGGATACCCCCCTGCTCTTCCCCAGGCCTGGGCAAGGTTCCTCCCCCGGATTTTTGCAATCTCAACCGCTGTGGTTCTGCCTCCTGAGTAATCACCTCTGCTCTCTGCTGCCCTGCCCAGTGCCACTCATTAGAGCACTGTCTTCCATAGGCTGACCACCATGGTGCCCTTGGGGCCACTGCCTGGGACCTGCTGGATTCCACTCATCTCTCTGCTTCTGGTCTACTGTCTGCTGCCTCCAGGTGAAGCAAGTAAACCCGGGGAGGGCTGGAGTTGGGGGGCCGGTAGAAGATGGGGAAATGGAGAAAGCTGTGGTTCACTGCAAACACTCCTTAAACTCAGATCCGATGGGGGCTCACCAGTGTCCTGGAAAACTGGAGCCTTAACTCAGCCTTCAGGGCTCCCAGAGGGCCAGTCCCTGGGTATGATCTGTCCTCCCCCCAACTCTCTCTAGACCTCTGTACTTTTGACCTCTGCCTACACTCCTCCCGCTGCCAGGACCACTCTTCCCTTTCACTTCACT